GCGTCAGTTCCACGCTGCCGTAGGTCTGAAGGCCCCCAGTCTGGGCATGTGTCACTTCCAGGTGTCCCGCAGTCCCTGGATGGTGCCCCCTCATCATTTTTTAATTTAATTTTAGTTTGGGGGCTGGTGTTGCGGTGTAGCAGGTTAAGCCTCTGTCTGCGTTGCCAGCATCCCACATGGGAAGGCCAGTTCGAGACCTCGCTACTCTACTCCTGATCCAGCTCCCTGCTAACGTGCCTGGGAACGCAGCAGAAGATGGCCCAAGTACTTCCATACGGAAAACCCCGATGAAGCTGCAGGCTCCTGTCCGTGGCCAGGCCCAGCCTTAGCCATTGTGGCCATTTGGGGAGTGAACCAGCAGATGGAAGATCTGTGTGTGTGTGTGTGTGTGTCTCCTCCTCTCTCTGTAACTCTGCGTGTGTGTGTGTGTCTCCTCCTCTCTCTGTAACTCTGCCTTTCAAATAAATAAAAAATAATGGAAAAAAATTGTTTGCCTTAGCCAGTAGTTGACATAAAATATCTCGACTCAAAATTTTTATAAGTTATTCTGTTTCAGAAACAGAGACACCTCGCATCTGCTAGAGAACTCACTGCGCCACAACACCTACTCAGCCACCCAATCTTGCCTTTTAAAGCCAACTTTGTTCTGTCTTCAATTTAAACCTAAAATCATGAATTCATGTATGGCTAGCGAAAGCCTGAGAGAAAAACCTTCCAATTATAAAGAAACAGGCTTGTTTCCCCTCAGAGAAACCAGTGCTAGAGTGTTTTGCTCTAACAGTGTTTCAGCCTAGCCTGGGGTTGAGTGACTTGGCCCCACCACTCAGGAGAGGCGCCCTCCCCCACCCCCCACCGCGGAGCACCTGCCGAGGAGTAAGCCCGAGGCTGGACGCCACAGACCTCAGACCTTCAAGTCTGACCCACGACGTTTCCATCATCTAGAGAGACAAAACCAGGGCTCCAGAACCACATGACCCCTGCAAGACAGCGCAAGAGGAGAGGCTGAGTATCTGTGTCCCTCAAGACTAAGGGCTGGGGCTGGTGCTGTGCCCAGTGGGTGGACCCACTGCCTGGGTCACCAATGTGGGTGCCGATTTGGGTCCTGGCTGCTCCATTTCAAGTCCAGCTCCCTGCTAATGCACCTGGGAAGGCAACGGACGATGGCCCAAGTGCTTGTGCCCCTGCACCCACGTGGAAGACCTGGAGGAAGCACCTGGCTTTGGCCTGGTGCAGCTATTGCAGGCAGATAGAAGACTCACTCTCTGCCTCTTTCTATATAATTCTGCCTTTCAAATAAGTAAGATAAATCTTTAAAAAAAAAAAAAAAAAAGGAAGATGCCTGAGGGCCTACTCAGGGACCTTTAATAAAAAGAAAAAATTCAGATAACACCTGTTTGGTTTAACTCTTTCTTTCACATCTAGGTAAGACTGTTTTCTCTCTACATAAATTTTCTATGTCTTAGCCTACTTCCAAAAACTATCAACACACTTAAATACTTAAATGAAAATGTGAAACATCAGGAATTGAAGAATGACAGGCCCCCATCATCTTCAAGGCTGCTTCAGTCCCCACGTGGACTCTGGCCTTTCTCTGACCGCCCCCCCCCCCCCGCCTCCACAGAAAGTTCTTTTTTTTTTTTTTTAAGATTCATTTTATTCATTGGAAAGGCAGAGTTACATAGCTGGAGTGGGCTGGGGATGGGGGGTGGGGAGAGGGAGGCAGAGAGAGGGAGAAAGAGAGAGAGAGATCTTCCAGTTGCTGTTTCACTCCCCAAATGGCTACAATAGCCAGGGCTGAGCCAGATTGAAGCCAGGAGCCAGGAACTTCATGCAGGTCTCCCACGCAGGTACAAGGGCCCAAAGCACTTGAACCAACCTGTGCTGCTTTTCCCAGGCACTTTAGCAGGGCGCTGGATCAGAAGTACAGCAGCCGGGACTCCAACCAGTGTCCATATGGGATGCCGGCATCAAAGGTGGAAGCTCAACCTGCTACGCCACAGTGCCTGAAGTTCTCTGTTTTTAAGAGCTCACTTGACTAGATTTGTCCCACTGGATAATCCAGAATGGACTCCCTATTTTAGGTCCATAACCTTAATTGCATCTGCGAAGTCTCTTTTGTCATGTAACAGGTGCACAGCTTCTAGGGATTAAGGTAGGGACAAATCTGGGGGGTTCTGTCTGTGCCAGTGATGTGATTTTAGGGCCGTGAACAGGAGCTTCTTGCCCTGGGGGACTGACTCACCCATGAGAGTTTGTATGGGATGCTATGGAATTCACAAGGACTTCCAGTGCACCTGATGTGGCGGGTGAGTTTCCCTGCCCTGATTGTTTCTTGATAAGTCTTACCTTTTATCAAGATCCTTCAGGTGGAACCCATACACCCTAAACAGCATCATGGGATTTCATTCCTAAATGTCCAGACAAGCGGCTGGGACTCAGCTACTTAAAGAGGAAAGCCTTGGGCCCTACGCTCGAAGTCGGAGCAATTCCTTCCTGCTGATCAAGAGTGAGAAGAGCTCCTTGCTCCTTGCTCCCCTTCGTCATCACCGAGCCCGCTCCTGCCTCGGAGAGCCTCCTATTCTGCAGTGCTGGCTCTGTCCAGCCGTACATGTGTTCTCCCCGTCCTCCTTTGAGTTCCTTACTTCTTGTTTTAAATTAGAAGGCACTTGTCCTGGCCGTAAAGAGGGCTCCTCTTAATTCTTGCCACTTGACATTTCTATCTTAATAATGTTTCCTGGACATTGGTCAGGTCTGGATGGTGGTTTTGTCATAACAGCTGCTGTCCCCGGTGCTGTGTAGAGGCTGCTCTTGCATTTTTCTATTTAATTTAAACCTTCTGTGGTTCTTGTGTCATGGAGCAGCAGGTTAAGCTACTGCCTGCAACATCAGCATTCTACAGAAGTGCCAGTACAAGTCCCGGCTGCTCCACTTCTGAGCCAGCTCTCTGCTAATATGCCTGGGAAAGCAGCAGATGATGGCCCCAGTGCTGGGCCCCGCCACCCATGTGGGAGACCTGGGTGGAATTTCAGGCTTCTGGCTTCTGTTTGGCCCAACCCTGGCCATTGCAGCCTTTTGGGGAATGAACCAGCAGACGGAAGATCGATCTCTCTCTCTCTATATCTATCTCTACTTCTATCTCTGCTTTTCAAATAAATAAGTCTTAAAAAAAAAAAAAAAGACATTCTGTGAGATGCTAGCTTTATTTCCATCTGAACCCAGCTGGGATTTGAACCTAAGTTCAAAGCTTGTCCTTGACCTTGTGCACTACAATAACACCAAACAGGAGCTGCATAGAGTTGAAGCAGCACAGCTAGATTCGGGGAACCTGGACTTCAACCCAGCTCTGTTTTCCCCACCCTTCTGAAAGAGAATTTGCTTTCGGAGCACCAGCCTCACCTCCAGTTTCTGCCAGGGACACATGGTGATTCCCCCAGGGTATACTCCAGACGGATGATGGAGCTCTGTGCTCAGCCCCCGACAGCCACAAAACACGTGTAGGCACTGGCTTGGCACTCCATTGAAGACCCTACTTCTCTAGGGGGCAGGCAGGTTGGGTGTGGCCATGCCATGTGGCTGGCCCCTGAAACCCCTTGGACCAGGCACTTACAGGTACAAAGATGCGCTTCCCTACAGGGCTGAGCCGGTTCGGGCTTTGCGGATTTAGGATGGGGCCCTCACGCAGTGGCCCTGGGCTCGTGCTGGCGCTCGCTGTCCTAGGGGATGTTCAGGTCTCGGGCGTTCGAGCCGGTGCAGTCCTGTTCTTTTAGCTCCACTTGAATCCAGGCTCAATGTTCAGAAGACACGAGATGCATCTCTGTGTTGGCCCCTGTCCCACCCTGTGAATCATACCAACCCTCATAAGTTTGAGCTCAGAGAGGACTGGAATTTGAGGCCAAAGAAGGCAAAATATTTCCCATTCCCATCCTTGCTAAGTTCTCAAGTTATTGGTGTAATGGAAACAGACAGTTGTGGGTTCAAATCCAGGCTCTGCACTGTGCTTCCCAGGGAAAGAACTTGGGCCGTGAAGAAGGGTAACCCTGGCTCCTGGCCCCCAGCTTTGCTCACTCATGGTCATTGCACCATTCCATCAGTCCCTTGGCCTTCTGAGGCCGTCTGCTTGCCTGTGAAATAGGAGGCACCGGCAGTTCTCCCCCGCAGGACTGTGAAGATGAGAGAGTGATGCTCCTGGCCAAACCAGGGCACGGGGGCTGCAGCAGCCAGCAAAAGGTCTGGGCTGTTCACCCAGGGACCTGGCCGCACAGGTTGGGCAGATTCAGGTCCTGGGGTGACTTGTTCATCCTTCTCCGCCTCTAGCAGGAGGGCAGCCAGACGGAGCAGCTGTGGGTGCCTTGCTCACAGGCCTCGGCAGTATGGAAAGGAGAGGCTTGCTACCCAGTGGAGGGGCCAAGTACCCCCGAAGCCCAGCCCACCGCTTCCACCACCAAGTCCCTGGCGCCGACCAGTGTTGCTTCAGCTGCTAGTAGTTAATGTTCCTTTACTTGGCCACGTTTCCAGCTCCTGGGAGCCACATGGTCCACGAGGGCCCGCAGTCTACCCGCTGCCTGCCTGCCTGCCCCTGGGAGCCACACTCACCCACTCGGGTCCTAATGTGCCATCCTTCAAGGCTCGCCAGGCTGTGGGCACAGGGCCAACGCAAGTGGAGGCGGAGCATGGGGTGGAGAGCCTGGAATTCTTCCGGGAAGGGGCCCAGCAGGGTCTTGGCTGGCAGCCGTTAGCCACGGCCTGGACCCCAGGGTGGGAGAGTGGACGGGAAGGTGCTCGTGCCCGGTGGGTGTGCAAAGCCCTGCGCCCAGTGGCGCGGGGTGGAAGGGCCCTGCCTTCAGGTGCTGGGGCCGGAAGGGGGTCCGCTTCTATGCTGAAGGCTGAGGACAGGGAGGCGCTGCGGGCTAGACACCCCGCCTCCTGGGCTCTGGGCGGGGGGCGTGGTGCGGCTGCGGAGAGGGGTCGGTGAGGCGGCTCTGCCTCCCCGGGAAGTGAGGCCCGGCCAAGCCCAGCGCCGGGAGGGGCAGGCCCTCCTCTCGGCGCGCCGTGGGGACCCTGTGTCCGGAGGAGGCCGGCGTCCAGCAGATGCACGCGGGGGAGGGCGGGGGAGGGGCGGGGAGAAGAAAACCCACAACAAAACTCGCCGCGCGGAGCGCACGGCTCAACTCGAATGGAAGGAGCCCGCGCCTGCGGAGCGCAGCCAAGACTCGGGCGAGCGAGCGGGGCCGGCGGGGCGCGGCACGGCGCTGGGGCGCAGCAGGTACCGGGCGCGGGCGGCGGCCGGGTGGGCAGGGGGGCCGGGGCCGCGCCGGGGCAGCGGACTCAGAGCTCCCCGCCCAAGGCGGGCCGTGCGGCTGCCCGGGGCGGGGCCGCTGCTTGTCGCCCGCTCCTTGGGACCTTGTCCCGAGGGCACGGCTGGCGATCCCCTTGGCGGTGCGACCCCGGCGCGATGAGAGCCCGGGCAGGGCCTCTCCTCCTCCCGGGCCACGGGCTGGTCCCAGCCCCGGGCCCCTCCTGCTGCGCACATCTGGAAAGAATCTGAGGGCGCAGCGGGGGGAGTGGAAGGACGCAGCGGCGACAGGGAGTGTGGGGGCAGGTGGGACCCGAGCGGGCTAGGACCCTTTACTTAGAGCGGGGGTCCCCACAGCCGCTCCTCAGGGGTCCCAGCGAGCCCACCCCCGTCTTTTTTATATAAGGAGAAACTGAGGCCCCCCAGGGCGCGTGGACAGGTGACGCGAAGCCCGCGCGTCCGCCTGGGGCTCGGCTCCCCTGGCCGCGGTGTGGCCCCAGCCCAGCGCCGCGCGCCCGCCCAGCCGGAGCCCTCCCTCAGCTGGGGGCCTGGAGTCCGTCTGTCGGTCTCCGCGACCGTTGCCCAGCGGGACAGCGGGATTGAGGAGGGGCGGGAGGCCGCCAACCGGCGAGCGTAGCGGAGGCCCCAGGTTGCAGGTCTCTGAGCTGGGGACGCGGCGGTGGCGCTGGAACACCTTACGTACGCGCCGTCAGGTGGCGAGGACGCGGCGCGCAGCTCCCGGCACCCCCGGGGGCCTGTGGCTGGGAGGCACACCTGTCGGGTGCTGCAATGCGGCTGGCCCTAGTCCGGGGGGATTTGCGCCAGCGCTGCGGGGAGTCGCGGGCTTGCGGGAGGCCCACGGAGCTGAGCTGGGCCGGCGGGGCAGGTGAAGCGGCGGTCTGCCCAGCCCCGAGAGGCTCCGTTGAGCTTGTGCCCACCCCGCTCTGGTGTAGAAGCCTTCCGCCTTGGGAAGGCCTAGGTGAGGCAGCGGCACGGGACCCGCTGGTTACTCACAAGAGCCAGAGGCTGCACGGAAAGGCCAGCGGCAGGCCTGGCCTGCTCCTTATGCCCCCCGCTGGGGCCCAGGGCCTGGAGTGCAAGGTCAGAAGCGTCAGATGGGAATGACTGTTCTCAGGACAGCTTATGCCCGAGTGCTTTGTCCCTCTGGGTAAGGCATCTTCGGGATGAAGATGAGTGGCCCAGCCCTTGCAGCTCTGGATGGTTTCCCGACACCATCATCTTGGCATGGTGGCTGATGCCCCGGGCAGCCTGAGCCTCCGGCCCTGCTCACCCTTCCTCAGACACAATCCCCCCTTCCTCCCCGACACCCAGCAGGCCTTTCTTTGCTCCTTCCCCTCTTCTGCCTCCAGTGCTTTTCCTGTCTCCCACTCAGCCTTCCAGACCAGCTCAAGGTTTGGGCAGCAGTCACAGCACACAGATTTTAGCCCTGGTCTTGCCCTTAGACTAGGCTCTGTAGATGAGGGAGTCACCAGGTCATACTGCAGATCCTTCTCCACTCTGGCTTTCATCGATTCATTCATTCGCTCAGCACATGTTTTCACTTATTTCTTTTTAAAAGATTTATTTACTTGAAAGGCAGAGTTACAGAGAGACAGCGACACACACACACACACACACGCAAAGAGAGAGAGAGAGAGAGAGAGAGAGAGAGAGAGAGAGAGAGAGAGAGATGTATCTTCCATCTGCTGGTTCACTTCCTAGATAGCCACAATGGCCAAGGCTGGGTGGGACCTAAGCCAGGAGCCAGGAGCTTCCTCTGGGTCTCCCATGTGGGTGCAGGAGCCCAAGCACTTGGGCCATCTTTTGCTGCTTTCCCAGGAGCATTAGCAGGGAGCTGCATCAGAAGTGGAGCAGCTGGGACTTGAACTGGTGCCCATATGGGATGCTGGTGCTGCAAGTGCTGGCCTTACATGCTGCACCACAGTGCCAGCCCCCATGCCATGTGTGAGGAGTCAGGAGAGGAGTGAGCCAGGAGTGCTGTGGGAGCACCCGAATCCCACCAGGGGGCAGAGTGAGACACCCTGGAGCAGGGGCACTTGAAGGGATTTGGGGGGGGCAGCGATGGGACCCCTCCCCGCCTTGTGCTTTAGGTTTAAGTCTTCCAAATAGGAAGATGAACTTCCAGGCCTGGGGTTTCTATTAGCATCCACAGGATGCAGCTGTCGGGGGCCTGGCCCAGAGCAGGTGATGGTGGAGTTGTAGCGAGTTTGAGTGAAGGAGGAAGGTGGTGCTGGGGGCCAAGGTGGTCCCTGGATTTGGGCCTCCCTTGCCCTTCCTTCTTCCCGTGCTGCCTTAACCTCCCACTTTGGGTCTGGAGGGGAGGTTTGGTTGGTGTGGAGGGAGCAGCAGGTGCAGTGGCTTCCTCAGGAATAGTAACCTGTGTGTGTTGCACCAGTGCTGGCACTGGGCTGGGCCTGCCACTTCATCTCCCGTCTCCACTTCCCAGACTGGAGGCTGAGGGTAAGAAAGTTAGTCACCCAGACCCACACCACAGTCAGGATTGGAGCCCAGGCTCGTCTGCCTCCAAAGCTCTCTGCCAGGCTGGCGCTCTGCCCAAGGGCTTGAGTTGTCTCTCACCAGGTAGACTTGTAGCTCCCGGAGACCAAGGGTCTGTTCTCCCTGCTGCTCCTCCCCACACCCCTGCCACGTGGCTGGGCACACCCATGGGGCTTGGCGGTTTGTCTTGCTCAATGGTCTTAGGAGAACAAGTGGGAAAATTGAGGCTGTATGAATAGGTCAGTAGTGTGACCAAGATCATATGGCAAACCATGGAAGTAGCACTGGCACTGCCAGGATCCCAAGGTCCCAAGGCTGGCTGGGCCAGCTGGGGGCAGGGGAGGGGCTGCCACTGGGGCCGCCACTGTCGGAGGCCTGGCTGTCTTCCCGCCTCTCCCTGGAATCCAGCTCCTCCTGTCCATCCCTGCAGCTCAGCCCCTCCCCTCTCTGCCCAGACCAGGCCAATGGTCCCTCACCTCATGGCCACTGTGCCCATCCCGTACCAGACAGGCTGTGCAGCCTTGTAGGGCTCTCAGCATGGATTGTCTTGCTCACAGGCCTCGACACACACTCACACCTTGCTTGTATCATCCCTTCCCTTTTGCCTGATACTCATCCCTCGTGGGGGCCGCATCGGGCATCACGTCTCTCAGGACGCCTTCTCTGGCCCCAGGAAAGGCAGGACTTCCTGTGGGCCCCCTGGACTCTGAGTTTCTCCCATCGTGCCTCTGATAACCCGGGGATTATTGTACTCAGTTTACACCATGCTCTAGGCCAGCACTGGAAATACAATGAGCGCCAGAAATGCAAGCCACATGCACAATGTAAACTCTTCTAGAAACTACACTGTTAAAAAGTCAAAGGAAACAGGTAAAATTTATTTTATTTAAGCCAATATATTGGAAAAAGTTATATAATCACTATAAAAACAATTAAGATTTTAGGGGCTGTCGTTCATATTAGGTATCGAACATTCTTTTCGGTACTACATCTGTGGAATCCGGGGCCACTACATTTTACACTCACAGCGCATCTGCATTTGGACCAGCCATGCTGCAAGTGCCCCGTAGCTGAGTGGTGTGGGGCGGCTGCCAGAGCACGCAGGGCCCCGCGGGCCCCTGAAGGGCAGCCGCCGTGCCTGAGTCTTCTGTCTGGGTCCCCAGCACAGAGGAGAGGCCCAGGGGAGAGAAGCAGAGCGTGGGGTTGGGCCCAGGGTGGGAGCTCCCCTGGGCCATTCAACAGCTGTTGCAGCGGCTGCTCCCCGCGGGCCCCAGCTCCCTGATCTGCAAAGTGGTGATGATAACATTTTCAGCATGGGCTGGAATGCTCATATAAAGACATGTTTGTACAGTTTCCAGATTTTTACAGACATGAAACCACAGGGAAAGGAGGAGGAAGAGCCCGTGCACAGGATGGGTGGGGATGAGCCTCCTTCCTCTGGCCCCTGCCCCTGGCCTCCTGCTCGGCTTGCATTTGGAGTCCATGCCCACACCCGCCTCGCAGAGCCCCAGCCTGCAGTGGGGTCACACAGGCAGGAAAGGGGGAGGCTTGCTTCCGTCCAGTGCTGGCTGCGCCGGGGGCTGGAGGCGCGTGAGCTGGCTGTGGGGTTGTGAGTGCCATGGAATGAGGAGCTGCAGGCTGGCATCTGGCCAGGGCACAGGGTGGCAGGGGTGTGGGAGGGCGAGCATGGGGCCAGGGGCTGCGTGTGTTGGGCTCCCTGGTTCCCTGCCAGACCAGCGGCTGGCACCTGCGTGGGCCTTTCGGGTCTAGGGAGCCTGGCTGCACCCCTCTTCTCTCTGTTCATACTTCTGCCCTCCGAGATCTCGTGTACCTTTTCCACTGTCACCCCAGTCTAGGTGGCCTGTGGGTATTGGCCCTGGTGCCTGCTGCCCCCTCAGACAGAAGGCAGGGACCTTACCCAGCCCACCTGGGCCCCTGGTGCCCAACACAGGGCTGGGCCCCGATGGCGCCACACCTTGCAGATGGCGGCAGAGTGGGATCTGCAGGACCTCGGCAGCCACGAGGCAGCAGGGTTCCCGGATGGCTGGTGCGTCTGCCCCAGCAGGGGGCAGGCCTGGGCCTGGGCTGGAAAGCCACGTGGCATCTAGATAGGGCCCTCGGGTGTGGGCAGTGGGCTGGTTGAGTGGATGGGCGGTAGGGAGAGCTGAGGCTTACTGGGCACTTACTGTGTGCAGGAAGTGTCTCTCACTGTGTTGTCACAGTCTCCCGTGGGGACAGTTCTGTTCGCCCCTAAGGAGGAGTGAAGAAGCTGAGATCAGAAAACCTGCCCAAAGCCGCACAGCTGGACATGAGCCAGAGCCAAGACCACAGCCCTGGCCGTCTGGCTGCAGAGCGTCAGTGTCACCGTCAAGTTCCCAGTGAACCGTCCAGGCCCAGCACCTCAGCAGACCCTTCCTTACTGCTCTGCGGGTTGTGGTGCCCGAGGGTGGTGGCAGGAAGGGGGCTCAGCTGGAGTCCCGTGCTGTCGGCCACTTGGCTCAGGAGCAGGTGCCGGGCCTCGCGGTGTGCGGCCGTCCAGCTGTGATGGCAGCACCTCGCCGCCTAGTGGTGCAGGGGCTCTGGTGTCTGCTCCCTGCGAGCACAGGCGTGTCGTCTGCGTTGTGCAGGTGAGGAAGGTGAGGCTCAGTGAGGCCAGAGCCAGCACGTGGTGGAGGCGGGGCCTCTGAGCCGCTGCCTGTCAGGACTCAGCCCTGACCCAAGGCCAGGCCCAGGGTACTGCAGGGGCAGTGGACCTCCATCAACTGTTGCACCCGCTCCCTGCTGCACCAGGGGACCGTGCTGGGGAGTGGCTGTGCAGGGGGCAGCGGTCAGGTGAGCGGATCGGGCTCTGGTGGGAGCCGCTGAGTGCGTCGGCAGCAGGCGTGGGCCCGGACATGACACAGGCAGCTGCAGCTCCGTTCACTGGTGCTTTCTCCGAGCCAGACTCAAGGCTTGGCCTGCACCCACGCAGAGAGCCGCATACAGTCCTGGGTGGGGAAAAAGATACCTTTGGGCATTCACACCGTAGCCCGGCTAATGCTAGGCCCTGGGGGACAGTGTCCATCTTCCTTCCCCCACATCATTACGCCAGAGGTGGTTCTGGGAAAAGACGTCACTGGTGGCAGAAGGGAGGGGAAGGGCGGTCCAGGCAGAAGACCAGCACATGCGCAGTGCAGGCAGAAGAGCGGCACATGCGCAGTCCTATAGCGAGAGACTAGGCTCCTGATGACCGGGACTGAGAGTTGTATTGGGAGAAAGGCAGGGCAAGTCCCAAGGTCCGAGCACGGCGAGCGGAAGACCTAAGATACACCCTGCTAGTGCTGGCCCACTGCGGCCTGGGGCTGCTGGAGGAGGGGCAGGGTCTCCCAGCGCTGCCTGTGCTAGTGCAGTAAGAGCTCAATAAAGGCAGGTCCCGCCTCAGCTTTCCCTTCTGTGCAATGGGCATTCCTTGGCGCCAAGCCTGGTGAAAGGACAGAGGCTGCCCCTCCCCTGCAGGGGTGGCCCTGGTGGGAGTGAGTGGGGAGGAGGGCGGCAGCCAGCAGATCAGCAGGGTGCTGAGGACAGGGTCCAGAGTGGACACTGCCTGTGCCCCAGGCTTAGTGGACCTGGACCTGACGTTTCGAGGAGTGCCAGGGTGGGTCTGACTCGGCCTCTCCTGCAGGCACCATGGCCCAGAGCAGGGCGCTGCTGCTCCTGCTGCTGTTGCCGCCGCAGCTGAACCTAGGACCTGTGCTTGCCGTGAGGGCCCCAGGGTTTGGCCGCAGTGGCGCCCACAGCCCGAGCCCCGAAGAGAATGAGTTCGTGGAGGAGGATCCGGTGCTGGTCCTGAGCCCCGACGAGCCAGGGCCTGCAGCCGACTGCCCTCGGGACTGCGCCTGCTCCCAGGAGGGAGTGGTGGACTGTGGTGGCATTGACCTGCGGGAATTCCCGGGGGGCCTGCCAGAGCACACCAGCCACCTGTCCCTTCAGGTGAGGCCACTTCTGCACCAGCACGCCCCAGGGACGGCCCTGGAGTCCCCGGCTATCACGGCTCTGTGTTTCATCCAGAGCCTCCAAAACTTGGGCCTCCCTGCCCCCAGGTATAGGGTGCTAGGTCCAGTCAGAGTCATGGTAGGACCCCATGTGCCTCTGGTCCAAAGCACTGTGCCGTGTCCACATAGAGCCGGCTGGGCTGGAGCTGGGTAAGGAGTCAGGCTCTGCCCAGCAGGCCACCCCTGGGACAGCCAGGCCACCACAGACACCATCTCAGGGCAGAGCAGAGCACACCCACGCGAGAGCGCTCGGAGGCCTGGACAATGGGTGCTGGTGAGCATTCACGAACGTTAGCCTGGCCTTGCAGAAGGGGGTGTCTGGGAGCGCTGGTTCACCCAGGGTAGCTGGTCTGTAGCCCTGGGCCATGGCGGGGTCGGCCACATCCATTTCCAGAGGCCAGACCCTGTGTGGGGAGGTGACCCACAGTCCCACGACACTGGGGGTCTGGAGCTTGGTTTGCGGATCCCCTTGTTATGTAAGCTGTGTCTCGGGTACCTGCTCTGTGCCTCTGGCCCTGTGTGGGGTGCTGGGCAGGTAGGGAGGACTCTGACCCACCTTGCCTTCGGATGCTCACAGTCTGGCGAGGTCTAAACCGAGACATCAAGTAGAAACAAATAGAAGGAGTTGAGCCGTGTGGGGTTCAGAGCAGGCTCCTAATCCAGCCCCAGCCCAACCCAGGGTGGCTTCTGGAGGAGGTGCTCACTGACCCTGCTTTTTAAAGGGTTCGGGTGGAGTGGGGGCCCCAGGGTCAGCAAAATAAAGCAGAGTGGTTTCTGGCTTGGACACCGGCCACCATGTGGCAGCACGCCAGGTGGAACCATCTGTGGAGCCTCGTTCGTGGGCTCCTTGATGCAGGACCCACAAAGCTGTGCCTCAGCACCCACATTCAGGCCTGGCCCAGAGTGGGCGCTAGGGTCTGCCTGCAATGGGGGAGACTCTGAAGGAGGTGCCCAACAGAGACCATGGCTCATAGGGCTGGGGCTGAGGGTTGGGGCACCCCTGGCACCTGCTGATGCTAACACCCCCCACCCCAGAACAACCAGCTGGAGAAGATCTTTCCCCAGGAACTCTCTCGACTACACCGGCTGGAGACTCTGAACCTGCAGAACAACCGCCTGACGTCCCGAGGTGAGGGGCCCCGGGGCTCAGGTGGGGGCCTAGGGCCCGTGGGTGCAGGGAGCCCCCCGGGAGCACCTGGGCTAGGCTGGCAGCAGGGCTGCGCGAGGGGCCCCGTTGTTACTGAGTGCTTCTGCCACCTGGCAGGGGGCCAGGGGCTCAGCTTCCCAGGACCCTGTCACAGAGTCTGACTCACAGGGGGTCCTTAGAGTCCCCCCAGTTTTAAGAAATTGGCTTTTTTTTTCCTGATGATGAAAATAATCTCTGATAAGGTAGAAATTTTGAAAAATAAAATGGAAAAAACCCTCATAATTCTGCCTCATAATTGATTGCAATGAATAACCTCTATTGACATTTTGATGTACCGTATTTCTTTCCATTTTTAAAACAAGCAGCTTTGTGGAGGTGTTTCTGTACCGTTAGATCGGCCCGATGTAAAGGCACCAGATGCGGTTTGGTCAGGTTGTAAGGGGACGCGGCAGCCGCCACAGCCCAGCCCCGTCTTTCTGGCTTCGTGTTTGTAAATTCAGAGCTGAACGCCTACAGTAGCTGTTACAACCTGCCTCACTTCCCTTCGCGATTCGTTTAGCATCATTTTTCAGGCTGCTAAACACTCGGCCTGGCTGTCCCAGCGCGACAGCAGGGCTTCCGTGACGCGGCGTGTTTATGTAACTGTTCCCTCTTGCGAGCTACTTGGGCCAGTCCCAGCATCTGAGGGTCCGGGAGCCCGGAACTGAGGGTCAGAGGCCGGCCTCAGGGCTGGAGAGGGGCCAGTCTGGCTGGACTCCCGGCCACACTGCATCTGCCAGACGGGGCGGGGGCCGCCCAGGTGCTGGCCCAGCGCAGAGGCTGTCGGTTGGTCCCGGGGTGTGAAGAGCGGCTCTGACCCTCCAGCCGGTCCCCAGGGCAGAACTCCCGGCTGGATCCTTTCAGCCACGCCCGATGCTTGCTCCTCTGAGTTTGGGCCCCCGTGAGTGAGGAAGAAGGGAACAGGGGCTGGGCAGGCCTCTGGGGACCGAGTGGGGAGGGACAGGGCTGCCGGGCCTCGCCTGTCCCGGCGGGTGAGGTGGGGGTAGGGGAGGGAGGTAGGCTCCCGCCATGCTCCCCTGTAGCGTCTCCTTCATCCAGGGCTCTGACCGCTGCCTGTCCTTTGAAGGGCTCCCGGAGGAGGCGTTTGAGCACCTGGCCAACCTCAATTACCTGTACCTGGCCAATAACAAGGTGAGGGCCGTGCAGGTGCTGCCCGGGCCTCCTGGCGGCCTTCAGCTGAGTTCCTCTTCTGGGGTGCTGCTGGGTCCAAACTGCTGCCCGGGCGAGACTGGGTGGTAAGGAGGGAGACACAGGCCCACACTGGAGCCCAGGGCGTCTGGGTGTGCCAGATAAGGAAGATGGAGGCCAAGGCCTCCAGCAGTTGGGGAGGATGGGGCAGGGCCATGATACTGGGATTTCTCCAGCCAGGGGCCCTGGGGGTGGTGGTGGGCCCCTGGCAGTGGGGTGCGCACTGCGGTGGAGGGGGCAGCGTGAGTGAGACCACAGACACTCAACTCCTTAGAGGTGCTGGGCCCAGGCCGTCCCTGCCCTTCTCGATCTGGACCCCGCCGGGGACCTCTCCCCTCCCAGGCTTTGACTTCCCCCCTGCTCCATGGCCATGAGCACTGGCAGCCTCCAGGCCTTCCTGCTCCCTGAGCCTGACCCTGCCCCTAGGTATCTGCTTCCTGCTCACAGCCCCAGACCTAGTTTGCCCTCCCCACCCACGGGGCTCCATAAAGGGCGCCTCTACCTCCCTTAGCGGCACTGCTGCAGGCGGCAGATCCAGGGCTACAGCGGGTCCCGAGCGCCCTCGCCCCCGCCAGCCCCACAGCAGGTCACCGTCCCTCCCTGATGGCCCTGCCTGTCTGTCTGTCTGCTTCCGCATTCTCAGAACAGCCCTGCTTCTACCCCTGCTCCCCAGGATCCCCTGGGCCAGCCGGCAGGGCAGGGACAGGTCCCGCGGCTTTGAATACCGAGCTAAGGAGAGGTTCTGCGTTTGCTTCATCAGGGGCTAGGGGCCAGTTTCACGGCAGAAGGACGGCCCTGGCCGCAGGGAAGAGTCAAGTTGAAGTGGCCCGGCTGGGCTGCAGGCAGTGGGGCCGGAGCTGGCCCCACTCCTGCCTTAGCCTCTCTGCCCTGGCTCTTCCCTTTCCAGCTGACCTTGGCACCTCGATTCCTGCCAAATGCCCTGATCAGTGTGGACTTTGCTGCCAACTATCTCACCAAGATCTATGGGCTCACCTTTGGCCAGAAGCCAAACTTGAGGTCAGAGGTCAGAGGGGTGGTCCTGGGCTTGGGCTGGGGGAAGGGAGGCACTGAGGGCCATGTTGTGCTGTGGGTGATGGGTCCTCATGCTCGGGCTGTGTGAAGCCACACTCAGGGGCTGGAGGAGCCGGGATCCAGAAGGCGGGGGCTGCAGGGTGAGGAGGTCTTAGTCCGAGAGCCAAGGGCAGAGTATGGACACTGGGGCACTGGCGAGGGTGTCCCCCTTCTCAGTCCCTAGGGCAGGGGAGCCCCTTCCAGGAGGCACAACTGCCTTCCCCTGGAAGTGGTGTGGGGGCAGTGAGCATCCCCCGCACAGCTGTGCCAGTAGGGCAGGGTATACTTGGCTGGGGCTGGAGCAGGGCGGGGCAGACACTATGCAGAGCCCACGGCTTCTCTGTCCCTGATCTGTCACTCACTTAACTCTCTCCAACCCCTCCAATGGGACTGTCCCCAGTCCCATTCCACAGATGAGAAGGCTGAGGCACAGGAGAGGCCACACAAGAGGGGCAAGATGGAGCAATGCCAGGGTACTTCAAAAAGTTATAGAAGTAAAAGATAAGTTTATCCTGGTGAAAAATGCATTGACATCCGTGCAGAGTGTCTTCATGAGATGCGTTTCCCACAGGCTTTGCGAAGCACCCTCATACTGACCTTGCTCCTCGTCTTCCCTCCTGCCAGCAGGGTGGCCACGTGAGGGTAGGGGCCTGGCGCTGTGTCTACTCTTAGGTCTGGCCAGTGTGGCACCCATGGCCTCTGTTTATGTATTTACATGTATGTGTGTGTGTGCACGTATGCATGCCACAGATGCTGTGACATACTTACCATGCTGGCTGAGTAAGTGTCACCTCCTCTGAACCAAGGCCTGCATTGGGTGCCAGGACAATGAGGCAGGAGGGACAGGCCCTGTCTCCAGGCAAAGTTCCTGCAGAACTCAGAGCCGGCTGCGTGGGGCTGATAGGTGGGGGTGAAGGGGCCGAGAGGGACAAAGACTCCAGTCCTTCTTGCCCAGGGTTCTCCCTGGCTGTGTGGGTCGGTTTGCGCCCTTGGGCTTGCATGGGGGAAGAGCACCCGGGCCCCAGACCTGTCTGAGCAGGAGGAAGGGGGGAGCCCAGGTGAGGTGAGGCCTGTGCTTGACCCCTAGGTCCGTGTACCTGCACAACAACAAGCTGGCCGACGCCGGGCTGCCTGACAACATGTTCAACGGCTCCAGCAACGTTGAGATCCTCATCCTGTCCAGCAACTTCTTGCGCCATGTGCCCAAGCACCTGCCACCGGCCCTGTACAAGTTGCACCTCAAGGTGGGAGGGGGGAGGCAGGGGAACGAGCAGGCGCCATGACCAGGGCCCGAGAGCAGGGACTTGCAAGGGGGAAGTGTCCAGGTCACAAAGTCGGTGGAGGTCAAGTAGGTAGGAGCCTGGGCACCGGCCGGTGGTATGGGTTAGCACACACCGGGGATGCTCCAGGCCCGGGACCCCTCCCGGCAGCTCCCTAGACAGCTGTCAGCCCTGCCCTGGCCCTTCACCTTCCCCTCAAGCTCCCCTCCTTGCCTTTCCACCCCCAGAATAACAAACTGGAGAAGATCCCACCAGGGGCCTTCAGTGAGCTGAGCAACCTGCGGGAGCTGTACCTGCAGAACAACTACCTGACAGACGCGGGCCTGGACAACGAGACCTTCTGGTGGGTCCCCGTCTCACCACGTCCTCTGCACGGCCGCGGCGCTGGGGAAGCCCCTCCCGGGGCGCACTGCCAAGCCAAGGCCTTGCTCACTCATCCCTTGCCCACGTGGCCTCTGTCGATGGCTCTGTCCCCAAGAACAAGTGACGTGTTTGGGTTTGGCCGTACAGGGTTCCAGTGAGGCAAGGGAGCATTTGCAGAGTCTGGCTTCTGGGTATAAAATGCAGACTCAAGCACTCTTGTTGAAGGCAAATGCATTTTTAAAAAGTTTATTTGTTTATTTGAAAGGCTGAGGGACAAAAGGGAGAAGCGGAGAGAGAAAGAAATCTTCCATCTGTTGGTGTAGTCCCTGGGTGCCTGCAGCAGCTGGGACTGGGTCAGGCTGAAGCCGGAAGCCCAGGACTCCACCCCGGTCTCCCACGTGGGTGGCAGGGCCCAAGCACTTGGGCCATCTTCTGCTGCTTTCTCGGTGCATCAGCAAGGAACTAGATGGGAATCTGGGACTGGAAATGGCAGCATCACAAGCAGTGGCTTAGCCGGCTGCACCACAACACCAGCCCTGCATTTTTATTTTTAAAAACAAGTCTTATTATCATTTTGTATTTTAAAAGCAGAGAAAGAGAAACAGAGAGTACGACATCTTCCATCTCCTGCTCTGTTACCCAGATGCGTGCAACCACCAGGGCTGGGCCAGGCGGAAGCCAGGAGCCTGGAACTCTTATTGGGGTCTCCCACGTGGGTGACAGAGACCCAAGTCCTGGAGCTGTCACCTGCCCCCTCTCAGGGTGCACGCTAGCAGAAAGCTGGGTGGGAAGCCCAGGAACTGGAACTGGGACCAGGCAGTCCCATATGGGATGCGGGCATCCCAGTGCCACTTAACTGGTGTGCCAAATGCCTGCCCCACATGTTCATTTTTTAGGGCCTGGGGAAGCCACAGAAGGCTAACTAAAGATGGAACAGTGGTCTTCAAATAAAACTGTGCTAGACCCTTCTTACACCAGTGGCACTGAGAGACAGAGAGAGGCTCAGAGGACTGAGGTACCCCAGCCCTGAGTGGCAGAGCAGGTTAGAGGCCGGTCCCCGCTGCTTCCTTGGGAATAGGGGCGGCAAGAAGCAGGTGTGGACCTGCCAACTCTCCTACCCCTCCCTCCCCAGGAAACTCTCCAGCCTGGAGTACCTGGATCTGTCCAGCAACAACCTGTCTCGGGTCCCCGCGGGGCTGCCGCGCAGCCTGGTGCTGCTGCACCTGGAGAAGAACGTCATCCGCAGCGTGGACGCCGACGTACTGACGCCCATCCGTAGCCTCGAGTACCTGCTGCTGCACAGCAACCAGCTGCGGGCGCAGGGCATCCACCCGCTGGCCTTCCAGGGCCTCAAGCGGCTGCACACGGTGCACCTGTACAACAACGCGCTGGAGCGCGTGCCCAGTGGCCTGCCCCGTCGCGTGCGCACCCTCATGATCCTGCACAATCAGATCACGGGCATCGGTCGCGAAGACTTTGCCACCACCTACTTCCTGGAGGAACTCAACCTCAGCTACAACCGCATCACCAGCCCGCAGGTGCACCGCGACGCCTTCCGCAAGCTACGCCTGCTGCGCTCACTAGACCTGTCCGGCAACCGCCTGCACACGCTGCCGCCTGGGCTACCCCGCAACGTGCACGTGCTGAAGGTCAAGCGCAACGAGCTGGTCGCCTTGGCCCGCGGCGCGCTGGCAGGCATGGCCCAGCTGAGGGAGCTCTACCTCACTGGCAACCGGCTGCGCAGTCGGGCTCTGGGGCCCCGCGCCTGGGCGGACCTCGCCCACCTGCAGGTATGGGGGGTGAGAGGGGCTAGGCTGAGCATGTGACATACGAGGGCATCTTCAGAAAGTTCATGAAGCAGGGAGCACTTACTTGGCCTAGTGGTCACTGGTGACATCTTCCTGTTCATTCATTCCAAAGCCTGTACTGTGCCCCCAGCGTGTGCCAGCCTCTGCTCTAGAACTGGGGGCCCTGTGGACTAAGGCAGGTGGAGGGCCCCTACCCTCCAGAGTACACGCTTAGGACTCAGCTCAGGCGTCGCTTCCTCCAGGAAGCCCCCTCCCCTGCACCAACAAGGGCCAGGTCAGTTTGGTCAAGGCCCGGGAGGAGGTTGGCCAGGGTGTCTGATGGGGGGAGAGGAGGGTCTTCCTCCCTCTGGAGCTCCCTCCAGGCAGTGTCAGAGCCCCACCTGTGCTAACCACCTTCTCTCCCTGGAATGCTTGCCCCAAGGTGAGGCTGGGTCAGGCCCCGCCCCTGGGCTCCTTCATAGCAGCCCAGGTTCCTGACTTGTCGTGGTCAGCTTGTCTCCATTTACCCTACCAGATGAGAAAGTACCAGGGTAGAGAAGCGTGATGGGGGCACCATGGAAACAGGGAGCCCTGAGCGTGGGGAGGTGAATGGGAGGCCTGGCTCTGCTGTCAGGATTCACAGCCCCCCACTTCCTGACCCTACACCCCAGCCTCCCAGAGTGAGGAAGGGAGCTTAGAGTTCATGGACTTGCTGTCTCGCAGCTGCATAGGTGTGACTCTGGCCAGGGCTCACCGGCCACTGAGGGGCATGAGGGTGGCCCAGAGGCTGTGCATGTGCACGGCTGCTTACCTCTGCTCCTGGGGAAGCCCACCCCAGCCCCCTGACTGCTGGCTCCAGGCAGGCAGTGACCTTGGGACTGACCAGCCTGGGGGTGGGTTGCCGACGGTCGCTGTGGGCCTCACACCCCCTCACCTGTGGCTGCTGAAGTTCATGAGCAGGTAGCCCTACCTGGTGCCTCCCCCTACTCCACGCAGGGCCAGTGGGGGTGGGATTCAAAGGCTAAGGACCCTGACTTCTGCCCCTCTGAGATCTTCAGCTGGTTGGAAGTGACACGTGTGTTTAGGAAGAGGCTCTGAATTCATGTGGGAAGGCAGAGGGGCCTGGGTGGGACACACATCTGGGAGAACAAGGGTTTGGAGTTAGGTATCCCAGGCCCCCTCCTCTTAGGGGTTGGGTAGCGCTGCACAGGTGACTTAAACCCTATGAGCCTGTATCCCCTTTGGAAAATGGGCATAGCTATAAACCCATCCCCTCCACAGGGCTATGGTGGGGTTTGGATGTGCTGGGCTTGGTGGGAGTTTTGTATGCTCTTCAGTGCTTTTTTATTTTTAAGATTTGTTTGTTTATTTGAAAAGCAGAGTTACAGAGAGGGAGAGACAGAGAGAGGAATCTTCCATCTGCTGGTGCACTCCCCAGATGGCTGCAATGGCCAGCGCTGGGCCAGGCTGAAGCCAGGAGCCAGGAGCATCATCAGAGTCTCCCACATGGGTGCAGGGGCCCAAGGACTTGGGCCATCTTCCACTGCTTTTCCTGGTGCATTAGCAGGGAGCTGGATCAGAAGTGGAGCAGCCAGGACTCAAATCTGCACCTCTATGGGATGCCAGTGTTGCAGGGAACAGCTTTACCCACTAAGCCACAGCACTGGCCCCTGTTCGGTGCCTTGCACAGGGGGTCCCTGACTCCTTTGGTCACCCCTGCAGCTGCTGGACATTGCTGGGAATCAGCTCACAGAGATCCCGGAGGGCCTCCCGGAGTCGCTGGAGTACCTGTACCTGCAGAACAACAAGATCAGTGCTGTGCCCGCCCATGCCTTTGACTCCACACCCAACCTCAAGGGCATCTTTCTCAGGTAGGAGAACCCCGGGGGCCCCGCCAGCAGCCCCATGGGACCGGCCCAGCTCCAGTGGGATAGTTGAGGCACACGGGGACAGTTCAGAGGCAGAGGTCAGTGTGGGTGGCCTGACTCCCTCCCTCGCCTCCCTGCCGGCTGTGGGACCCTAGGAGCTTCTGTTGGTTCAGCTCTTGAGGGCGGGGCAGTCCTGGTGAGACCCGACGTGGCCTACAGGTTTGTCCAAGGGCTTTGGAAACATGATAAAGCAGTGCCCACCCTTTCACCATGTGTTCCTGGGTGGGAAGAGCACGGGGGATGGCTGGGCGATTCAGGACGGAGGTGTCCGGTGCTGTCTGGGCTGTGGGTATGGGGCTGGGGGTTTGCAGTGATGCAAGGACCCGGCAGCTCAGCTGTGGAGGCTTCCATTGAGCAGGGCTAGGGAGGTTTTCCCCACTGCCCCCGAGCCCTGCCCTGCCGTAGCAGCCGGTTGGGGCAGGAAAGAGAAGGGCACAGGGTGCACTCCCAGGGGCGCTGTGGCCATGAAGGCCCAGGCTTGGTGATCTGGACCCAGGCCTCTGCAGCAGTGCCGAGGCACAGCCTCTGTCTTTGCACTACCTGCATGTGTGCCTGCTCCTCTCAGCTCTGGCCTCACCTGCAGGCTCAGGTCCATGCCGGAGAGTGAGCCGAGAGGCAGCTTCTGCATCCGCCACTCCCCAGCTAGTGGTGAGAGCTGTGGGCCGAGGCAGACGTCCCCGCACCCTACGATGACTGGGCCAGCCCCAGTCCCCACCCCAGGCTGGTGCTTCCCCAACAACCTGCACGTCCACTGTGCTCCGTGCTTCTCTGCCCGCAGCCTGTCTACACTGCAGCATTCCTGGGAGGGCCTGACTCCTCCTCGTGTACCCTCAGGGGTGTGGGGGAGCTGTGGGGCTGTGCAGGGCTCCGGCATTGACCCCTACGTGGACGGCTTGCACAGGTTTAACAAGCTGGCCGTGGGCTCAGTGGTGGAGAGCGCCTTCCGGAGGCTGAAGCACCTGCAGGTCTTGGACATTGAAGGCAACTTTGAGTTTGGTGGTGTTTCCAAGGACCGTGGCCGCTTGGAAGAGGAAGAGGAGGAGGAAGAGGAGGAGGAGGAAGAGGAAACAAGATAGTGACAAAGGACAGAGATCTGACCTAGGTAGGTGGCTGGGCAGGGCGTGGCACTCACCTCTTCCCCACCCCTGACCCCAGTCCAGTCTTGAGCCATTCTCTGTCCTGCTCCCTCCGCTCATGGTGAAAGCCTCTAAGAGCACTTGAAGCACAGCCCCCGTGATGGGAGCTGCCCTGAGCAGGGTCGGACACGCAGGCCTGGGGCTCAGGGGCGAGGTCGGGGCTGGAGATGGGGCTCCAGGCATTGTCAGCTAGGCGAGGGGAGCTTGCACCCAGCAGTGAGTGAGTGGGCGGGTGCAGCAGGTGGGGAGCCTGCAGAGGAGGCGGGGGCAGTTAGGAAAGGAGCTGGGAAAGTCACAGGCACAACACAGATGCACTCACGCACCAGCACCCTTCACCCACGAGCACAAACAGGTCTAACACGCGCATTCACAAAGCACACACAGACGTGTTCATAGGCACAGGCCATGGGTGCACACCCACACATGGCCTTTACGTGAGCATGTGTGTGGGCACACACGCACACACAGAAGTAGGGAGCCAGCCATGCCCCAGAGGCTGTGGTAGCTGAGTGCTGGGGGGCCCCCGGCTTTATCCACACGGAGGTCATCTGGAACTCTGTAGGGGCTGACTGCAGAGGGAGACTGGGTGACGAGAGTGGCTCCAGCCTGCTCCAGGTCCGGCTGTGGAGAGATGGAGAGGGCGGTAGTGGGAAGGCGTGGGCTGTTCTAGAAGGGTGCCTTTCATCTGATGCCTCTTCTCGGGTTGGAGCTTGTGTGGTGCTGACAGGGCGGGCTGTGGTGGGCAGGAGGGTTGAATGCGAGTGCCCCATGGAGCTGGGGGGGGGGGCAGGGGGGAGGCTAGCGCCTCTTCCACTGTGGTGGGCGGGCCGAGTAGCTGCAGGCACAGGCAGCATGGTGACCTGGTGGAAGGGAAGGAGGAGCAGACAGGCGGCCTGGGTGGGCAGAGCGCTGGCCAGGGCTGTGGAGGTGTGGGCGTGGAGGCGGCCAGCAGCCAGGAGCAGAGGTCAGGAGGTCAGAGACGGCTGGGAAGTGGCTGCGGGCAGGATGCTGGCCGCTGTTAGGGTGGTGACTGGGGGGAGCCCGAGGGGCTGCTGATGGCTAACAGGGAGTTGGCGAGGGGTCCACGCTGATGACAGAGAAGATGGACAGAGTCATGCCGGTGTGGAGGGACAGGCCTTGGCGGGGCTTGGGGGTCCCTCTGCCCTGCTCCTGGGGCCTGGGCTGCAGGGGTGCAGCCCCTTCTCCCGAGGCCTTGCTCTCATGCAGGCCAGGGCTCAGCCTCAGGGGCCACTGCCTGTTCACTGAGGACACTCTGGCCTCATGTGTGGACTGTCATATCCTGCAGGGGACAGAATCTGGGCCCGTGGAGGACACTGACCATGGCCAGGTGAATTGAGTGAGACCCCAGGAGAGGCCTCAGAGAGTGGCCATGGTGGGTCCCAGAGGCTCTGTCTGGTTCATGCTGGCATGAGTGCCTCCCATTGGCTCCAGGCTCCAAGGGCCAACCCCTCTCCCACTCACAATAGCCTGGCGTTCCCAGGGTCCCCTTAAGCAGGGCCCCCAGCTGCCATCGTCCCCGCGTGCTGGTATGGCAGGCAGGGTGGCCCCTGACTCTCCTGTGTGTTCTGCAGGACGCTGGACTCCTTCCTGCAACGAGCCCTCATCCTGCCACGCTCCCACCGACGCACCCAGCACTGCACCCTGGGGAGTTGCGCAGGACACAGGTCACACCCAGCCTAACTCCTCCCTGCAGCGTGTCCCTCAGGCTGAGATGTGCAGGCACCAAGCCACACCCCTTCACACACACACACAGCCAGCTGCAAACTGTCACACTCCACCCCGAGCCCTCTGCTGCCACCACGCCCTCGGAGTCACGCAGACGGGAAAGGTCTGGTCTATCCTGGCACACATATAGCTGGCTCCTGTCCCCTGTCTGTGTCTTACACACACACACACACACACACACACACACACACACACAGAGTCAGGTGCAAGCAGCAGCCCACAGCTCTTGCCTGCAGCCAGAACAGCTCTTCAGCTGGCCCGTCCATCTGTCCGTCCGTCCCCTGGAGAAGTAGGGTTATCTCCGTGCTCTGTGGCCAGGTGCCTGCCACCCTTGGGAACTCACAAAAGCTGGCTTTTGTTCCTTTCCTGCCCTTTGGGGACAGGAACCTCCTGGCCCCACCCCCACTGAGAGCCCCTTGCAGGCCACCGGCAGCTCCCGCGGGCGAGCCCCAGTGAAGCAGACAGGAAGGCTGCCGGGCGCCACCCGGGGCTCAGGGCAGGAGTGAGACTGAGGGCGAGCAGAGAGGGCGAGGGGGGAGGGCCCAGCTGCACCTGTGAGACATCATCTTTATTCTTTGGACCTACAGAAAGTTTTAGGTGCCTTTGATTTTTTTTTATTCTTTTTGAAGAAAAAAATGATAAAAAATCTCTAAGCTGATTTTTCTTGTTACAGAAAAACTAATATAAAAGCATTATCCTTGCCCTTGCAGCCTATGGCCGTGTGTGTGCGTGTGTCCTGCCAGGGGAAGTCAGGATGTGGGCACCTCAGCCCTGCAGGCCAGACTGCAGGAACTGGGGCAGGGGCGGATCTTGGGGACAGTGAGAAAGCTGCCCAGGGCAGAGATCCAGGGAGACCTGGCTTAGCCACAGTAAGGAGGCCTTGGGATGGGGTGGGGGGGCAGCCACCAGCATGGTGGGGATGAGCCGGTGGGGCCAGGACCTCCACACTGGGTACAGGCTCGCTCTAGATTCCCAGAAGCTCAGCATCACAGCAAAGGACCTGCAAGGGTGACCCTTGCACCGAGGGGCTGTGTCCCCGAGAGGAGGGAAGGGGGCTGCAGACAGGTCTGCAAGCTGGGGCAGAACCAGGGCTCTGCAGGCCTTCCCGGGCAGGTGCCTCTGCCCCCATGAGAGCAGAGCTGGGAGTGCAGGGAGTGGAGGGGGTGGCATCCGGCCCTGAGGGAAGAAGGACCCCTGATGGGAGGTGGTGACCTCCCCACCACTGGGGCTGCGTGTAAGTTCACACCTGTCAGGTCTGCTAAGGAGGGGCCCCCTGCCTCGCGCTGGGGGAGGCTCGGCTGTGCAAAGGGTCTTAGAGACGTGACTGAGGGAAGGGGCGAATGTTCCATCTGCCAGAAGCTGGGGGTGACCCATAGCTCGGACATCCGACCCATCACAAAGGAAGGGTGTGCTCATGGTGGCCCCGCAGCCTCCAGCCCTGCATGGGAGGGATATCCTGAGTCAAGGCCCTTCCTGGGGGTCGGCACTGTGGTGCAGCGGGTTAATGCTCTGGCCTGAAGCGCTGGCATCCCATGTGGGTGCTGGTTCTAGTCCCAGCTGCTCCTCTTCCGATCCAGCTCTCTGCTGTGGCCTGGGAAAGCAGTGGAGGATGGCCCAAGTCCTTGGGCCCCTGCACCTGTGTGGGAGACCCAGAGGAGGCTCCTGGCTCCTGGCTTCAGATTGGCACAGCTCCTGCCATTGCAGCTGATTGGGGAGTGAACCAGTGGATGGAGGGCCTCTCTCTCTCTCTCTCTCTCTGCCTCTCCTTTCTCTGTGTAACTCTGACTTTCAAATAAATAAATAAATCTTTTTTTTTTAAAGGCCCTTCCTGGGGGCTGGTGCTGTGGCGTAGCTGGTAAAGCCTCTGCCTGCAGCACTCACATCCAATATGGCCGCCAGGTCAAGTCCTGGCTGCTCTGCTTCCCATCCAGTTCCCTGCTAATGCACTTGGAGAAGCAGTGGAAGATGACCCAAGTGCTTGGGTCCCTGCACCCATATAGGAGACCCAGAAGAAGCTCCAGGCTCCTGGCTTCAGCCTGGCCCAGCCTGGCTGTTGCAGCCATCTGGGGGAGTGAACCAATGAATGGAAAAAGATCTCTCTCTATATATATCTCCCTCTTTCTCTGTAATTCTGTCTTTCAAATAAGTAAAAAATAAACCTTTTTCTTAAAAAAAAAAAAGGGCCCTTTTTGGACTCCTCAGATTATGACCCTGGGAGGAGGGGTGGGGGCCTAGAACAGGGGTCTCTGTCTTCCTCATGTCTTGGTGACAGATACCTGCAAGCCCTGCCCATCTGGAACAGGCTGTGTGGCCAGGGCCCTTCTGTGTATGTTCCAGTGGTCAGTGGAGAGTGAGGGACTGGCAATGCTGGGGGGTTGGGGGAGGCTGTCCCCTCTCTAGAGCCAAGTGTTCACCAGAGGGGCCAAGCGGCGCGAGGAAGCATGCTCCTGCCATGGGCACGCATCTCAGGGCCCCAGGCTAGGGGCAGGGTGGTCGGGCCTCAGCCCCCAGCTCCTCTGCACCCGGGCTGCCCAGGCACGCCTCTCCTCCAGCTCCACGGACAAGCCTGCTCTATTCTGGCCACCTGCCCAGGCCTGTCTGAGTGCTAGTGCCCAGACAGGCCCATCCATATCCTGGCGGCCTGGGGGAGCCCAGGGAGTGTTGGTCAGCCAATGGTCTCTGAGCCCCTGAGACTTGGAAAACAAGTAGTACCTTTATTTAGTTGTCATTGGATTTGAAAACAGAAAGGAATAGAAAGGTCCGACTGCATTTCACATTGCAGGCTTCCGGGCAGCCTGACACCTGGGTCCCCCCCTCCCTGGCTGCTTGGCTAGGGTGCCCCAGGCTGAGCCCCTCACTGGGCCCCGGCTTGCCCACCTAGGCGGCTTCTGTCTCCACACCAGCTGTGCTCGGCCGAGCAGAGCAGGCTGAGGCACGTGGAAGGCAGGGGTCCCAGCCTGGGCTGGCTGGGCTGGGCCCACCCTGGGGAGAAACTGTTTGGCTGATACCACCTGTTGTGGGGTAGGGTGGGGGTCTGGGCCTGGACACAGCTGGGGCTGACACCAGGACGTGGAGGCGGCGGTGACTATGGGACTCTGGACTCGGAAAGGAGTGGCGGGGACTTGGAAGCCTTAGCGTCAAGATTGTGAGCAAACGCTTCTGACCCCCAGAGCCTCGCCTCTGTCATCCACAAAGTGGGGCACTAGCCCCCACTCCACGGCCTCGCAGGCTCACGCGGGGGACACTGTCCAAATCGGGGCCCTGCCCGTCCCTGGCTGGCTGGCGGGTGCCGTCCCCCTCTCTGAGGCTCCTTTTCCCATCTGATGGCGCTCAGTGCAGCCTCTCAAGAACGGGAAGGACGAGTACTGGCCCCTGTTGGCTGCTCTGGAACGTGGTTGAGTGGACAGCCTGCCCTTGACCCCTGACCCCAGAGGCCTCTGCTGGCCTCTGTAGCCCTGCAGGCTCAGACATTGGTCTCGAGCTCGCTGATCTCGATGGTGCAGTGGTCCAAGCTGGTGGTAGCCGGCTCCTCGTCCTGCTCCACCTGAACGGGCACGTGGTGGGGGCAGGTGGGGCCCAGGGTCAGCTCCGAGGCCTCGGCCACGCTCTTCACGCAGCCGTTCTGCTGCCTGGCCACCACCTCCTGGAGGCTCACCGGCTTGGTCTCGCAGGGCGGCAGTTTCTGGAGAGAGGAAGCAGGCCTCGGTAGCAGCAGGCAGGAGTGAGGTTAGACACCAGGGAGCACCAAGGGTCAGTGGAGCTGAACGAGGTCAGGGCCAAGGACCGGGGCATGCGTTTTCCTGCAGACATGCTGTGTGACCTTGGCATTCACAGGGTCTGGCCAAGTCTGGCTCCCGGGCTGTCCCGCCTCTTGCTGGCACAGTCTTAGTAGAGGAAGGGCTCGGGGTGGGGGGCCCTACCTGAGCCTCACCGTCCCCCCTGAAGCTGGGGCAGTGACAGGACCACACAGCCTGGACACACCCACAGACCTAGGAGTTGTGTGGCCAGCCGGCACCATTCCTGCTAGAGTGGAAGTCCCGGGGCCAGGGGATTTGGTTGGTCACGTGTTGTCCCCACGGTTCCACATTTGTCTAGCTCAGTGCCAGCTGTGGCAGGCGCTCAATAGACAGATATGGGAGGAGCTGGTCAGTGCCTGTGACAAACCAGGAGGCCGGGGCCCGGTGGCTCTGGCTGAAGGCTCCTGGTGGGTCAGAGCTCCCTGCCTGCCCTCTGAGGCTCGTGGGAGGGGGCGCTGCTCTCACCTCGGCGCCCGTGTCCCGAGCAAAATCCTTCCGGCAGATGTGGGCCATGATGCCTGCCGCCAGTGCGTCACCCAGCACATTGATCATGGTGCGGAAGCGGTCCCTGGGGAGCCAGGCAGGTGGTGAGGGCCGCTGGAGGAGGACAGCATCCCGCCCACAGCAGTGAGGCCAGGCGGCAGCGCGGGGATGGCCAGCAGGGCAGAGCCTGCAGCAGGAGGTCCCCAGGCCCCTGCAAGCCCCCTGCCCCTGACCTTGGTGGTGTGGAAGCAGGTGGCACAGGGCCGGCTCCGCGGGCATGTGGCTGGGTGTCTCCTGGGGCCCCACGCTCAGCCGGACCAGGCTGTCATGAAATTCTTCCTCGCTGTTGATGGAGGGGCCCTGCATTGTCACTTCTGGACCCTGGGCCCCACAGATTACACAGCCAGGCCCGTGCCTGCGCACAGGGCACTTACACTGGGCCAAACATGGCAGCCCCTGGCCCTCTACCCCGGGCAGGCCCTCAGCTGCCCACCCTGATGCCTGCCTGCTGTCTTGGCTGAGCAGTGGGGTTGGGGGGAGGCACTCACAGAGCCCAGTCGACAGCGATGATGAGGTTGATGTCGTCCGTGGGCAGTCCCACGGAGGTCAGCACGATGACCATGGTGACGAGCCCGGCTTGGGGGATGCCGGCTGCCCCAATGCTGGCCGCAGTGGCTGTGATGCTGCAGGCAGACGGGAGGGGAGAGGAAGAGCAGGAGCAAGAAGGGGCTGGTGACATCAGAGCCCTGGTGCCAAGCAGGGGGCCAGGTTGCCGGGGTCTCTGGGGCAGGCAGGGGGCCAGGGCCGTCAGGGCTGCACAGCAGGGTGTTCTCGGGGGCATATCCTGTGGCCCTGTGCCTCCAGCCCTGGCCTCAGGGAACCTCCTGGCAGTCTGTGGAGCCTCGTGTCTGGAGCTGCACCTCCAGGGTCCCAGGAAGCTGTATGCTGAGCACCCACAGGCACAGCTCTGCCCTGGCCGCCCCTGAGGCCTGGGGTCCCGGCCCTTGTGCTTGCATTGGTCCCTGGGGACTTCCTCAGCCTCTGCCCACCGCAGCACCCCTCCCTCGGGTGCAGCTGTGGGCAGAGGCCCTCCACTGCCCTCAGCCCCACCCTCCGCTGGCCCTGGGCCCGCCCATGCCGCCCTCCCTGCCCGGCCTGTCCAGCTGGGGCTCTCCCGCTGCTGCCCTGAGTCCCAGAGGGAGATGACTTGCTGTGCAGCCTGGAGGGAGCCCCCGGCCCTGTCTGGCCCCCGAGACGACCCCCTCCCCCCGCCCCACTGCTGCGGCATGTCAGGGTGCACCTGATAGTGATGATCTGTCCGAAGTCCAGCTCGTAGTTGTTGACCTGGGCGATGAAGATGGCAGCCACGGCCTCGTAGAGCGCGGTGCCGTCCATGTTGATGGTGGCGCCCACGGGCAGCACGAAGCGGGCGATGCGCCGATCAATGTGGTTGTTCTCCAGCAGGCACTTGAAGGTGATGGGCAGTGTGGCTGAGCTAAGGACACAGGGGCCGGCGTCTGTCCACCACCCTTCTCCGGCGGGTGCTGCCTGCCTGCCTGCTGGGCAGCGGGTCACAGCAGGGGAGAACAGGAGCCCTGAGGGGGCGGGCCCATGCCTGCTCAGGAGGGCGGGGGAGGGAGGCGTGGCCGCCAGCAGAGCACCTGCTGTGTGCAGGCCCCATGCTGCCTTCGCACTTGGTTCTTCCTACGAGGTGTGTGTGTGTGAGTCTGTCCTACCCATGAGGAAACGGAGCCCAGGGGAAGGAGGCGCTGAGGCTGGCTGAGGGCACCTGAAGTGCTGCCCGGCGGGGCTCGGGCTCGGGCTCCTGCGTCCCCACCTCTGCGTGTCCCAGTCAGTACCCACACTGCAGAGCTAGCAGAGGATTAGGCTTAGCAGAGTCCTGGGGGTGGGGCCTCTGCTGCCAACAGTGGGGTGGGCACTGCCAGGGGAAGGGGCATGCGGGGATGTTTTACACATTGAGGAGCCAAGGAGGCAGCTTTGATGCCAGAACTTGGCTTCCCGCAACTTCTCCTGTGGAGATCCTGGGCCCTGGCTGTGGGCAAAAGCCCCCTTTCTCAGCAGGCTGAGGCACTCCGCACAGGGCACCCCCTGCCGTGCCCCTCGGCCAGCACGCGTGCTGTGCACAGCTCTGCCTCCCTGAGGGCCTCTGTGCCCAACTGGGCTGGAGAGTCCCCCTGCCAGGGTGGGTTCCCCCAGTCTCCACAGTGGGCCCCAGCCTGTGCAGGGGGAGGGGACACAAGGAAGCTAAGTGCCTGGCCTGTGTCACCACCCGTGCCTGACCAGGATGCCTGTCCCCACTGTCGAGCCGCCCTGCAGAGGTGTCCCGGGGTGCCTGGCTGGCAAGTCCTAGTGACTGTCCTAGCAGGGCCGACTCCAACAGCAGCCCCCCGTGGTGAACGTTCATTGCCTTTGCTGGTGGGCCTGGTCAGCATTGCGACAGCTCGCTTTGCCCCTGGTGGGCGGGGCCAACCTCATTTGGACCCAATGAGCTTTGGGGATTGTGGTCAGTCGGAGAGGCTGCCCCATGGTGGTTTCGGGGGTCACACTGGTACTTCCTGTGGCTCTACCATGGGGTGGGGCATGAGGGCTGGACAGAGGGCTACCTGGAGGAGGTGGCCAGTGCGATGAGCAGGGCCTGCAGGACCCCGCGGATGAAGACGATGGGGTTCTTCCTGGTGACGAGGAAGTAGAGCAGGGGCAGGATGAAGAGCCCGTGCACCACGAGCCCGCACACCACGGTCACGGCGTAGAAGCCCAGCTTCTTGCCCACGGCCTTGGGGTCGTCCATCTCCAGGATCTTGCCGGCGATGAGGAACACGATGCCGAAGGGGAAGTACCTGGAGCAGGGCGGCTGGGATCAGGTGCTGGGCAGGTGAGGGCCCCACCCGGGCCCCAGTGCTGCCTCGCTGCGGGGCCCCATCCCCTCTGAGCCCCCCAGGGCACCAGTAAGGAGGGATTGAGGCTGTGTAGCCGTGGGCCGGTACGCGGCACCAGTGATAGCTGTAGCCTCAGCTGCCCCCGCCCTGGACAGCCCCTTGCAGCTCTGCCTGCCCTGCCTGAGCCTCCGAGGAGTAGCCCTGCCTTAGGAGGTCCCTAGTTCAGCCCCAGCACTGCCGTAGCCTTTGCCAGTGACCTTGGGGAGGCCTCTGCCCTAGGAACTTGCAAGGCTGGACTAGAACATTCCCGAGGCCTGAACTCTGAACCAAGGCGTCCTGCGTCCCCACCTCCTGTCCCAGAGCCGAGCCGGTGAGGCTTCGTGTACTGGGGAGTGAAGCCAGGGCAGTGGCAGAGCCAGGCTGCACCCTGGGGCTACCTCCACACGGGCTGGGCCTGGGCCTGGGCCTGCGCAGGGCCAAGAGCCTTGGGCTGATCTGCCCAGGAGAGGAGGCTGGACCGAGGGCTCCCTCCACCCTGCAGGCCTGGGAGGGGCCCCTAGTGACGCTTACCACCCAGCCACCGCCACGATCTTCATGACGGACTCATTGAGGCACTGGCAGAAGCTGACCAGGGGGGCTCCGCTGTCACCCATGCGGCCCAGCATGATGCCTGTGGGATGGGGACAAAGGAGCGCTCACGACTGCACCAGGTCTGGTGCAGGCACACAGGTGGAGAAGCAGGGACAGCCCCACCCACATGTGCAGGTCTCCAGGGGGTCTTGGCCCGGAGCGGGAGGCAGGCTGGGCCGGCGCAGCCAACTCTGCAGCCACAGTGCAGAGGGTGGACCCTTTGCCAAGGCCACAGGACAGGCAGCTCTGCACCCTCCGTGGAGGATGCAGCACACCAAGCAAGAAAAGAAAGGCCCCGGGTCTGCATCCAGCTTTAGTGGCAGCCAGGGTGGTGGCAGTGGGCAGAGGGCAGCGGCCAGACTGGAGAGAGGCAGGCCTGGCAGGACTCGCAGTGGGGCTGGGCAGAGGCGAGGGCACCAGGAGCATGGCGTGGCTTCTCACCCCAGAAACACCCCTGGGGAAGTGGGGGAGGCAGGAGGTCACACCCCCGGGCCCTCCAGGAAGGCTGCTGCTGGTTTTTCCAGCAGGGGCTGTGAGAACAGCCCCTGGCGTGACCGGGAAGCCCAGGGTCTCACGCACAGCCGGATTACTCCAGAAGGGTTAGGGGTCGTCCCCCAGAACGGAGAAGGCCTGTGTGTGTTGTTTGGGAACGGAGGCCTATCCATGGGTTTGCGGGGTCTGGAGCTTTACACTTGGGGACCTCCCTAAAGGCACAGGCTCAGAAGGGGCTCCCCAGCTTCACTGTCACTCACCTGTCACAGGCTGGGGGCTTGGGGCCCCAGGAGGGCTGTGGTGGGGGGCAACCGTAGGGCATCAGGGGGAGCAGGCTGGGGGCCCTCTCGGGGTGGGGGTGGTGGTGGTGGTGACAGAGATGGGGCTGATGATGCTTCAGTCCTTAGTCGGGATCCACCCCTCCCCCATCATCTCGAGACCTCAGCCGGTGATCGGGGACCAGGCTGCTGGGAGGCGCTGGGGCAGGAAAGGAGAGGCAGGGCTGATGCCCCAGAGCAAACCAGTGCCCAGGCCGGGCTCCAGGAGAGCGGGAGGGGGAGGGGAACCCGAGCCGCCGTGGGCCGGTGAGGCAGCACGGCCTGGAGGACGACGCGGAGGAGTGCCCGGGTCGGCTTGGCTGGGGCCGCAGCACCCACCCATGGTGGCCGAGAAGATGACGATGCCCAGCACGTTCATGCCGTCGCTGGTGCCTGGCTCTGACTTGTAAACCACCTCGGGCGGCGGGGTCAGGTCCAGGGCGAAGTTCTGCACGCGAGAGCCGTTCTCTTCCTGGACCCCGTAGACGAGGATCCGCCGAGCAGGGGTCTCCTCCGGTGCCACCTTGGGGGACTTGACTACTGGGGTCGTCTTGGTGCGGTACTGGTGGGCGACAGCCAACCAGGAAGGAGTCAGGGCCAGGTGTCGTCAGGAACAGCACAACAAGGGTCGGTGCTGTGGCACAGCGGGTTAAACCGCTGACTGCAGCGCTGGCATCCCATATGGGCGCTGGTTCAAGTCCCCGCTGCTCCACTTCTGACCCAGCTCCCTGCTAATGTGCCTGGGAAAGCAGTAGAGGATGGCCCAAGGGCTTGGGTCCCTGCACCCCTACATGGGAGGACCCAGATGGAGTTCTGAGCTCCTGGCTTCAGCCTGGCCCAGCCCCAGCTGATGGGGAGTGACCCAGTGGATGGAAAATCTCTTCTCTCTTTCTCTGTAACTCAGTCTTTCAAATAAAATAAATAAATCTTAAAAAAAAAAAGTCACAACAACAATGATACCATTTTGAAAGGGCGTTGTGTCCACCTGTGTCCATCCCACCCTGTCAGGTAGTCCAGGAGATTACCATCGAGATTTTACCCAAGAGGGAACTGAGATACCTCATCCCACACACTACTCAGCCAGGCCTCCCGCCAGCCCTCACTCTCCTCCCCACCTGAGCCTCTGCACTCCATCCGGGTCCCTTGGAACCAGCCGTTCATCTCCGTATCCTCCATCAACCTTCCATGACCCACCCACCTGCCAGCCAGCCCTGCTTCCCACCTGATGGTAACACACCTTCTTTTATTTCTTTATTTCTTTATTTTTATTTGTAAGAGAGAGAACATTGCCATCCTTCAATTCACTACCCCAAGTACCCACAATGCCTCTGGAGCAGGGGTGGGGGGCGAAGCCAGGAGCTAGGAACCACTCTAAGTCTCCCATGTGGTGGCAGGAACCCCATCACTTGAGCCATCACCTGCGCCCCCCAACCCCTTGGTCTGCAGGAGCAGGGTGCTGGAATGGAAGCAGAGCCCGGAGTTAAACCTAAGTGCTCCGTCGCAGACATGGGCATCTCAACTTCTAGGCTGATGGCGCAGCCTGAGAGGTTCTTGTTTCAAAGCCCAGACTGCCCCCCCTTCCTGAGGGGAGGGAGGTCAGCTGGGAGGAGCTGGGCTGCCTGCCTCTATCTTCCTCTCTGCCCAGAGCACGCCTGGGTCTCTCCCTCTCTCCTAACCCAGAGCCTCCCAGCCTCCCAGCCTCCCAGCCTCAGGAAGGTAAGCCTTGAGGGGGAGCCAATCAGGAAACAGATGAGACTCAAGAGTCTGGTGGTGGGTGGCTAAGACGGGTCCCATATCAGGGTGCCTGGGTCTGAGGCCCAGCTCTGCTTCTGATCCAGCTTCTTGCTAATGTGTGTCCTGGAAGGCAGCGGTGATGCCCCAAGTACCTGGGTCCCTGCCACCCATGTGGGAGACCTGGACTGAGTTTCTGACTCTCAGCTTTGTTCTGTCCCAGTCCTGGATATTGGGGGTGTTTGGGGAGGAAAACAGCAGATGGAAGATTAATCTCTGTCTCTCTCCAGCTTTCAAATAAAATGAAAATAGGGGCTGGCACTGTGGCACAGCTGGTTAAAGGCCCGGTCTGCAGTGCCAGCATCCCATATGGGCACCAGTTCAAGTCCTGGCTGCTCTACTTCCTATCCAGCTCCCTGCTAATGCACCTAGAAAGCAATGGAAGATGCCCAAGTGCTTGGGTCCCTGCACCCATGTGAGAGACCCAGAGGAGGTTCCTGGCTCCTGGCTTCAGATTGGCTCAGCTCTGGCTGTTGGGGCCATTTGAAGAGTGAACCAGAGGATGGAAGACCTCTCTCTTTCTCTGTTTCTACCTCTCTCTGCAGCTCTGCAATTCAAGTAAATGAAACAAATCTTTAAAAAAAAGAAACCAAATAAAAATTAAATAAAAATCTGTGCTTCATTATTCCTATCTGTAAAATGGGATAAAAGAGAATTAACCTCACCTGGATTAAGTGGGATACTATACATGAAGTGCTTACAATGGCTGCTGGTACATGTAAGCCCTATGTGGGTATTACTGCTATCACCATCATCACCATCATCACCATCACCACCACCATCATCATCACCATCATCACCATTATCATCATCATCTCAACGTTGATCAGTTCATGCTGGGTGCCAGAGATGCAAAAGTGGGCCACACGACTTCTGCTCCGTGAGCCTTGGGAGGGAGTGACTAACTCTGCTTCACAAAGAAGGGGACATTTGATTTGGGTCTTGAAGGATGGGTAGGAGTTTGCAAAAAGGAAGAGTATTCCAGGCAGGTATGATGGAGAGCAATGCTCTCCCTCTTCCTCTGATACCTTCACCAGGTTCCCAGGATCAAGCCCAAAGTCCTGGTTCATCCTGTAGGGGAAGCCCCGGGTACTAAGGGGTGCAGTGACCGCTCAAGCTGTCCCACTGCTCACCAGTCACCTGTGTGGCCCCAGCGGGCTCAGGAAATGCCAGCTGGGTGCAGTCAGCAAGCAGCTGGGTTTCAGGAGGGGCAGCAGTGTGGGAAGTTGTGGGCATGCATACACAGGCTGGAGCCCAGGCTGCGCCTCCGCAGCTTCCACTAAGGCGACAGGACCGCGGAGAGGGAGCAGGTGACGTGCGTTACAGCCCAGCCCCACGAGGGGCGGCGCATGTGCTTCCAAGAAACGTGGAGCATACGCGGCAAGTGAGGAAAACAGCAGGGCAAGAGCTGCACCACAGCCCTGATTTTATTGTTTGAATATTTATACAGAGAACAGGAGACAGAGGACAGGCTATCTGCCACCACGGTCGCTAGGTCCTGGAACTGGAGGCGATTTTGACCCTCTCTATATCTTTTAGCGTTTTCCTAATTTTCTCCAGTGACTGTTATGATTCTTATTAGAGGGCAAAAGATTATTTGAAAAAGAAAGAGCACACAGGCTTTGAAGCCAGCCGGGCCTGGCATTAGCTCCTCGCGTTGTCATTCACTGTGGGATAAGCTCGGGCAGCTCGGATCATCTTTCCCAGCCTCAGTTTCTGCATCTGGGAAAGGGGCTCCCTCTCCCCTAGCGCGGAGTCACTGCAGGAGGAGTGCATGGGGAATGCTGGGCACAGACACCCCACATGAACAACTGGAACCCAGGGCAGGGGCGTGGCCACGGAGAAAGTGAGGATCCAGTCTCCCCACGCCCCCAGCCTGGATCCCTTCCAGCCTCCTCCTCTGGGAGATGAGGAAACTGCTTGGGCAAACCTGCTGCTTCCCAGCGTGGCCCAGGCTGGCCCTGCCACCTGCACACCCCGCCCCCGCCACCTGCACTCCCCCCACCTCTTCCCTCCCACGGCCCTGGGTCCCACTCACCTGTTTGAACGTGGCTTCCACCAGGTTGGCTGGGAACATGTTCCTAAGAAGAGAGTCAGTACCTGGAGCATCCCAGAACACAGGGTGGCGGGTGGGGCCCCTGGGGTCTCCTGATCACCACCCTCAGCAGTCACGGCCTCCCGGGAGCCACCCCCGCCTTCCAGCCACTCACTTCTCTACGCCGCCGCCACCTCCGCACAGCTCCCTCTGCCTCCTCAAACCGATCCTAGGCCTGGCCCCTCCTCCCCGCCCCCACCCCCACCCCCATGACAGTCCCTGGTTGCCCGTGGTCCTTCTGGTGTGGGTGGGCTCTGCTCCAGCACCCTGCCCGTCCGCCTTCCCCCAAAATGGCCTCCCTGCGGTGAGACTCGGGTGCTAGGATTTTATCTGGGGGGCCTAGCAAAAGACCTGACCCGGAAGTGGGATCTCCATTTGGTGGCTGTTTTCTTCCGTAGCTAAAGGACTGCAAAACCTAGTCCTACCAGACCGGAAGACACCACCTTCTAGAAACCCTAAACTCCACCTTTATTCCCATGATGACGAAGCCGTCAGATCCCACACAGCCCTGGGGAGATGGAGGCATGGGATGGAACCTGTGGGCAGAGCCAGGACTCAGTGCCTCCGAGAATGGTGGCCGGGGTGGAAGTGGCTTCACAACCCAAGAGGGGGTGGCCGATTCCTTCCAGGGCCCTGCGTGGCCACCCCACTGCACAGGAAGTCAGAGACCTCATTTAACCAGCACGCCAAGTACAGTCCAGGCGTGTTAAAGAAATGCATCAGTACAGTAACAGCGCCGGAAGCTGCAAGGAGAATAGGTGACTATTTCGTCAGCTCTCAGGATAGGGGAAGACTTGGGGCCGGCCCTGTGGCGTAGCAGGTAAAGCCGCTGCCTGCAGTGCCCGCATCGCATGTGGGCGCCGGTTCAAGTCCACTGGGAAAGCAGTAGAAGATGGTCCAAGTCCTTGGCACCCTACAACCACGTGGGAGACCCGGAAGAAGCTCCTGGCTCCTGTCTTCGAATCAGCCGTGCTCTGTCCCCAATGGCCATCTGGGGAGTGAACCAGCGGATGGAAGACACCCACCCCCTGCCCTGCCTCTGCCTCTCTGTAAGCCTGCCATTCAAATAAATAAATCTTAAAAAAAAAAAAATGGAAGCACTAAGAACCAAAAAAAAAGGAGCAACAAACCCAGCGAAGATTTTACTATGTTGAAATTCAGAAATTCTAGGTGGGACGAGGCACCCTGGGGTGGATCCTGGAACAGCGGAAAGGGACATTAGTGGAAAAGCGGGTGAAACCCAGATCAGATCTGCGATTGAGTTAGCGGCGCTGCGCCAGCCTAGTTTCTTCGTTCTGACAAATGTTATGTAAGACGCTCACACCAGAGGAAGCCGGGCCAAGGGTGGATGGGGTCTCTCTTTTCTTTGCAGCTTTTTGAAAACTGAAAATAGGCCAAAGTGAAATGCTAAAAACAAAACAAAAGAAGTGGGTCTCTTAGCTTGTAATACAAATAAAATTCAAAAGCAAATGACAAACCGGGGATGTGACAGGACCAGTGTTCCCACCCAAGTCTAAGCAAATCTCGCCTCTCAGCAGAAGGGACCTGCTTGGTTCACTGAGGGGACCCAGCTCCCAGGACACCAGGCATGCAGCAGGCACCCACTCAGTATCTGCTGCGTGAACAGACGGACGCAGAGGATCATGGGAAGAGGGGACCAAGCAACTCAGAAAAGAAGAAAGAAGGCCCCCGACACTTTTCAAACCCGTTCAGCTTTGTCAGTAAGCACCTTCTTACCCACTAACCTGACAAGGCGCTGGTTAGGTGACCAGGCGCCACGCTGGGGAGACGGGCAGCCTGGAGACTGGAAAGCGCCTGTGACGCTATGTCCACACCCCTTCCAGGCATCTCCTCCGCCTCACAGAGGCCAGCGAAGTGCCTGCACCTCCTCCCGTGGGCCCCACACTGGCTCCTCTGGCTGGAGGCCCCCCTGCCCCACCCCTGGCCCGCTCTTGGCAAAGCTCTTCTCTTTCACCATTCACCTCCCACTTGCTGGGCTTCAAGCTGTGGCCTAGCCTGTGCTTGCTTTCTTGTTTAATATTTATTTATTTGAAAGGCAAAATGCCACAGAGAGAGAGAGAGGGAGAGACGGAGAGGGATCCTCCATTGCTGGTTCACTCCTCAGTGGCCTCAATGGCCAGGGCTGGGCCATGTGGAAGCCAGGAGCCAGGAGCTCCATCCGGGTCTCTCACGTGGGTGCAAGCACTTGGGCCATCTTCCGCTGCTTTTCCAGGTGCATTAGCAGGGAGCTGGATCAGAAGTGGAGCAGCCGGGACTCGAACTAGCGATCCTGTGGGATGCGGCTGTTGCAGGCAGTGAGTTCACCGCTGTGCCACAACGCTGGCCCTGCGTGTGCCTTATTTCCTAGCCTCTCATCCCAGCAGCCACTGTGGGAAATGGAAACTGGAATTTTCTCCTGGTGGCCAAAATGCAGCCTCGGTGTGAGAGCCGGGCAGGAAGAGGAAGAGGGTCAAGAGCAGGGCACAGGTGAGGGGCGGGCCGGGCCTGCTGTGGCCCCGTTGCCCCCTACCCTTTCCCACAGCTTCAGCTGTGTCGCGGGAGGGAAGCAGCAGAAGTCCCAGGCGTGGGCTCTCAGAAGCCTGCCGGAGCTTTCCCCCGAGGCATCAGCAGGTTGCTGCCACCACCTGCGGGGACCCTCGGCACCACGCAGATGCAGAGAAGCGGAGCCCGCACTGGCGCCAGGGGCCCAAGGGCGCGCAGCCTGCCACGGCGTGATGGGCAGCCTGCCCTGGGTGTGGAGGGCGCTCCCACTGCACCGGCTGTGAAACAGTTTCGGTCTCTCCTGGAGACAGCTCAGGAAGTGCCACTGCCCTGTAAGGCTCCCTGCTGATGGTCTGGGAAAAGCATCAGAAGATGGCCCAAGGGCTTGGGCCCCTGCCACCCGTGTGGGAGACCTGGATGAAGCTCCTGGCTCCCAGCTTCGGCCTGGCCCCGTGCTGACCCTTGAGGTCATTTGTGGAGTGAGCCAGTGGATGGAAGATCTCTCTCTCTCTCTGTCACTCTGTATTTCAAATAAATAAATGCATTTTTTTAAAAGAAACCAAATGTAACGTGTACCCACTGTATCCATTTCTTTTAAGCAGGGATAATGCAGATGGTGGGCTGTGGCAGGGCTGTGGCAGGGCTGTGTCAGGACCAGCTGGCTGCCTCCCGCCAGTCTCCGTCTGCCTTTGCCTCCTTACGCTATAGCATGGGGACCCACAAGGCCCTGCCATCGATCCCCGATGCTCAGCTTCTCTTAACATTGGAGTGGCATTGACAGGCAGGTGGAAGCTGTTGAGTGGTGCTTCCTGGAAAAGTCTGGAAGAGGTGCACATCCAGCCAGGACCTTTCAATACTTTCCTTGAAATTTCTTCTTTCTGCCTAGAACACAGATGTAATAGCTGGAGCTTCAACAACATTCTTGGGCCAGGAAGCACACCAAGGATGAAAGCCAAGAGCTTGGCACACAAGGGGACGGGACATGGGATCCTGGTGACTCAGGGATGCTTACGAGGGAGAAAATGCCAGCACCACCTCACTTAAACCCCTGCTGTTTCAGGTTTCTCTTCACCAGCAGTGGAGAACAATTCCTGACTAACACACGTGCTTGTATTAATGATCGACTAATTCATCTGGCAGATTTTAGTGAATAATTGCGCTTTTGATGACTCAACAGGAAAATGCGCAACATTTTCTTTAGGCCTTGAAGACCCACAGGAACTCCCTGCTCATCTCATGAGGCCTGGACTCCCGAGGGTGGCTCCATAAAATACAGACAGAACACACCTGGGCATCCTCAGCCGCCCCGAGACCCCGTCCCGGCAGGCCAGGCACGCCTCAGCCCCCTCCTCCCCTCCTGGGACCCATCCAAACGCCCCCACTCCCATGCCCCCAGCCCAGGCCCCAAAGGTGCCTTTCTGAGCAGAGCTCCTGGGAGTCTCAGCTGATCCCTAGGAGGGAGCCGGGAGCTGTAGGCAGAGCCAAGTCATTACTTAATCTCTGTGGTGTTTTAATAAGACTGGGAAAAAGAAGAAGGGGCCAGCTCCGCTGCGCATTCTGCTCGGGCTTTTCCTGCGAGGCTGTGCTGGGCACGGACGTCAGCGTGCTGGAGCCCCTGCCGGGAGCCTGGGAGAGGAATGCACGTCGTGGCGGGTCACGCGGGGACATGGCCTCCCGTGCTCCTCTGGGGGTGTCTTCCAGACGCAGACACGCGTCTCTGCACTGGGCCTCCGCATCTTTCTGATTTGTCGTTGGTCACACCTGCCCCCGGGTCCCAGGCCCCAGGAGTCCGTGTGCTTGTTCGGTCACTAGCACTTGGCAGGCACCTGCTCTGGCCCAGGGCCTGGTCCCTTCACTGCCAGTGTTCCTGTTGTCTGCACAGACCCTCAGAACATCGCAGTGGACACCCGGCGCAGCCTCTCCCCCCGGCTCCCAGTACAGCATCTTCATCCAGAGCAGGTGCTTCATCCAGGTGCACTGGACAGAACGGAAGTGGCTGCCCCAGCCCCCCTTCTGGGACACCCGCGTGCCTCCAGGCAGAGCCCGTGCACGGCACTGGCTCTGTGCCCCCTTCCCACGCCCACTAGCTTGCCATGTCTCAGGGCCAGCAGCCAACCCTCCAGCTGCGCTCTGGCCTGCCCTCCCGACCTCATCTTCCAGAGAAGAAGCCTAGAAGCTTCTGCTCACTCCCCTGCACCCCCTCCTGGCTGGCAGGCCTTTGGGTTTCAGAACCACAGAGCCAGTGGGGATCTTGGAGGTGGCTGGGGAGGGGCACGGGCTGCCTGGGGCCACACGGCAGCGCTGAGGCTGCAGGGCTCCCAGGCTCGGGTTCTCTGCCCCGCGAAGCCACGCTCACTCTTGGCCGGGGAACAGTGACGGTGACAGTGACGCCAGCCTCCCAGCTCTGCAGGAGCCTCGGATCCACTTTCACCACGCTGATGGCCGCGCAGGGCAGGGAGCGCCTGGGAACACTGGGCTCTGACGCGTGCGTTGGTCCCGAGCCCCACAGCCCTGAGCAGCAACGCCTCCCACCACGTGGAAGAGCTGTTCTGAATTAGAGAACCCAAGAAATGATGAATCACAGTCACCCAATCCTAGAAATAACGGACCTTCAAAATGAGGCTTCCTGCCATCCCTCCGCCTCGGCCCTCAGGACAGCCGCTGCCCGCTCCTCCTGCCCCCACTCGCTGCCCCAGCTCCACGCAGCCTGCAGGGCGGCCGTGGACCAGGGCGCACCGGGGCCTCCTCACCACCATGTGGCCCTCAGCTCTGCCCCCGCGGGGGGCTTCAGACCTCAATGCCCCCGATGACCCCACCTCCCACGTGTGCCCTCAGCAAACGCTCTGAGCCGTGCCCTGTCCTGGGCTGCAGCCTTCAGCAGGGAGCAGATCTTCAAGGGGCGGGGCCTCACAGGGCCTCTCAAGAGGATATTCCAGCGCAGAGGGCAGATCAAGAAACACAGGCATGTGATGAGGTTGGGAAATACTGCAGGCTCGAGGACAAAGAAAGCAAGAGAAGAAAACAGAGTGATAGAGACCGGACGGCCCTGCTGAAGGAGTGACGCAAACCGAGGAGTGCGTGGAGTGAGTCAGGGCCACGGCCTGGGCAGGAAGGGCCATCCCCAAGGGGGCGGTGACAGCGGCCAGGAAAAGCGGCTGACTGTGATGGCTGACTGTGACAGCCGCGGAGGGTGTGGCTGAGGGAAGGGAGGGAAAAGGAGGGGCCAGGCAGAGGTGAGGCTATGTGTGTGTGCGTGTGTGCGTGCTCGCACGTGTGTGTGCACGTGTGTGTGTGTGTGTGTGTGTGAGAGAGAGAGAGACAAGAGGCCCGGATGCCACAGTAAAGACCATACACTGGGTTGGAGAGGCTCCTCTGGCTACTGGGCTGAGACCGGAAGACCTGCGAGGAGAGAGAAGGCAGGGCAGGGGCGCCGCACACCTGAGGGGAAGGTGCTGCAGGTGCACCGGGTTGGGCAGGGGGCCCTGACTTGGGGTATGGCTTTGAAGGTAGCGTCGACGGAACTTGCTGAAGAGTTGGATGCGGGATATGAGAGAATGAGAGATGTGGGACCAAGATGGACGGAGCTGGGGAAAGCACAGATTTACGGCCGTGTTAATTTAGATGCTTTCGAACAACTGGGCGTGAGAGCCGGGAGTTCAGATGAGAGGTGTCCAGGCGGGGAACAAGATTCGGGAGTGAGCACTCGCGGACAGAAGGTGTCCATGGTAGCGGATGAAGTATCACAGGTGAGTGTGTGCACGAAACGCAGCCTGCTGGACCTCACTCTGGCTCTAGATGCGACAGGTGAGGACACACAAAAGGGACAGAGTTGCAAGCATGTTTGTGACCACGGGTTCCTTGCACGCTTCAAAGGATAAAAGAGAAGCTGGAGACTTTTCTAGAGAAAATGGAGACAGTGGTTGATTGGCGGAGGGAGAGGTTGGCTGATGGCACTGATGCACCTGTTCGCTGGTGGCAGCGGGGCCCCCTCCCCGCCTGAGCCTGGGCTCGGCCCTTTCCTGTCCGGCGGCTCCCCCTTCGGGGTAAGAACCTGCGCTGGCTGGCCGTCTCCTGGACTCCTGTTGCCACCATGAAGTGAATCGGGCTGGGCTGCTGGAGTCAGGAACAGGGATGCAGCCGCATCTGCTGTGCCCAGGCTGCCTCAGAGCAGCTGCTCCCCATGGAGCCGCCAGCTCGCAGCAGACGCAGATCTGGCTGACCCGCAGGCCTGCGGTGTTGTGCTGAGCCAGTCGCGGGCTGGTTTGTCACCTAGCAGTGACCAACTGACAGGGACGGCGAGTTTCCTTAGAGCAGGGCGGGCTGCTACGGGCTGGGCGTCCTGCCCCCGGGGACAGACGGAAAAGCTTTTTCCTCACTTGGAGCCGAGAGGGCTATGCAGAGGCCTTGGCGTCTGTCCCCTAGGACTTGAGGATGGCGGGGCTGATTCATGTCCTGATTCATGTCCAGAGACCCCGGGGAAGGCCTGCGCTTCCAGCAAGGGGGACGGGCCCTGCCCAAAAGGGTCACCCCGAAGTGGCGCTGGCCCCAGCCCGGATGACCAGAGCTGGGTCTGAGGAAGGTGTTGCAAACAGCCCGATGGAGCAGGGATGGCCCACGGCCAGGGCGGCGGGAGGAAGATGCTGCCCACAGCAGGGGCTCCAAGAGCCTGGGCTCACACCCCTGAACAATCGCAGCCAGGAAGCACCCAGCCCAGCCCCCGCACCCTCAGTGCGGCCCACTTCCTGCTGTCTCCACTGCGCCCACCCGCAGACAGCACAGGGGGCCAGGTGGGACACAGAAGGCAGGCAAACGCCCTGCGACCCCGCAGTGTGACAGCTCTCTGAGCCGGAATCAGACCCGCCAGCTGGATTGCTTTTAGAGGGAGGGAGTATGGCGGCATTTCAGTGTCACACAGGCCTGGACTTCCTACATGGGAAATGGACTAGACAACGAGGGGGGCCCACGGAGACACTCCCAGGGAGGTGCTTCCCTCACCCATGCTGTCCTAGGGGCCACTCCGCCGTCAGGGTCACACCTGAGGCCCCCACCCCAGTGATGTCCAAACCTCCGTCCCCACCCCCAGCGAGACTGGCCAGCTGGCATCCGGCATCCCCAGGGGTCTGCACCTGCCCGGTGTCATCCCGGTGATGCTGGCGGCGCCACCCACCTGCACTCTCACCCTCATCTGGCCCGCCTCCTGCCGAGGCCACCTCCTGACCAGCCCTGCAGCCTCCACTCCCACCCTGATCCAGCCAGAGGGAGCCGCTGAACCCAAGTGTGCCAGGCCTTTGCTTAGCCCCCACTCCCTGGGGTCCCTGGGATACAGCCCAAGTTTTGCCCGGGTTCCCAAGGCCCCCTGGAGTTCTCCAGCAAAGATGGCCACTCCCCGCCTCCCCCCTGTGCTCCTGTCACAGGTGGGTTAGGACCCCGTCCCCCAGGCTGTGCACCACAGCTCGCCTTCGTCACCACCTGCAGAGACCTCGCCTTTGTTTGGTCCCACCCCTTACCTTGTCCCTGCCTCCTCTGGGCCTTTCCTGGCAGCTCTGACCTCAGCTCCAGGGCGGGTCTGAGCCTCCTGGCAGTGCTGAGGGAGAGGAGGGGACCCTGCAGGGGGTCTGGGAAAGGGAGGCTCCGCCGTTGAGACAGCAGCTGCCCTGGCTCAGGTGTCAGGTGGTGGCACCACAGGGCAGAAAGCACCATGCCAGGTGGAGAGAGACCTGGGTGGAGTCCTGACTCCAGCACCTGCCTGCTGGATGACCCTGACAACCAGGGCCCCGCTCCAAGGCTCACTTCCTGATGTGTGGAAGGGGGGCCGCCCCGACAGGGAGATGAGGGTGACTGTAGGCCTTGCACCTGCAGGCCACTCCCTGACCCTGCTGGGCTCCCATACCCCACGCACCCACGGTGATGCGGTGTGAGCCCAGTCCCCCTCGAGTGCCTTGTTACCACCCGCCATGCAGAGCAGACCCGAGCACCCAGCCCCACGCTCCGACCTGCCCCCTGGTGGCCACGTGGGGCACGCGTTACCGGATGAGGTCCAACAGGGCGTCCGCCGAGCTCATGACCGGCTTGCCGCTCTGCTCTGTCGTCTCCTTCTGCGCCGCGCCTCCGGGGTGGATGACGGAGACCATGACGATGCCCACAACGACGGCCAGGAAGGTGGTCCACAGGTAGTAGGCCACGGTCAGGATGCCCAGGCGGCTGGAGGTCTTGGCATCCAGGGAGGCGAGGCCGGACATCAAGCTGGAGGGAGAGGTGGGGCGGGGTCTGTGTGGCGAGGCCCGGGCCTGGCAGGAGCTTGGCCGTGCCCACCCTGCCCTCTCCTGGCCATGCCTGGTGGCCTCGCTGTGCTCAAAGAATTCCCCCTCTCTGGGCCTCCTCTGAGCTTCTCTGCTCTGCTCCCTGCCCCCCCACCAAGGTCACAGGTCAAGTGCGTGAATGCCTGGAGGTGTGGGTCCCAGCCACCAGGGGAGACCCAGCTCAATGCCCCCTCTCCAGCAAAGCCTGCTTCTCTCCTGGAGTTGGGAGCATGTTCTGGGGCTCCCCCTGCCCCACCTGCTCCAGACCCTGTGCTTCCCCGGCTTCTCTGGGGATCCCCAGTGCCCAGCTTGGCTGACATTGTGCAGTCTTGCTGGGGGGGGGGGCGCCTGGGGCTGGCAGCTGGCCACCTGGGTCCTGGCACTGGCGCTCCAGCGGCTGTGTGGCTCTGGCACGCAAGGCACTCCCTTGATTTGGGTCTCAGCATCCCATCTCCGAAATAGGGCCACAGGGGGTGCCTCTCCTGGAGTGGCGCCAACCTGGGGTCAGCTTGGGTTAGTGGTAGCCCGGGATGAGGGGCTGAGGTCCTCGCAGTTCCTCCCCACCTCTGCCCATCAGTGCAGGTCGGCCCCCGGGTCTCTGCGCTCCACGCTGCTGTAGGAGTGTGCAGAGGGTGTGTGGGGGCTGCGGGGTGGGTCAGAGATTAATTAAGGAAATGCTTGGGCTTTGCTTTGCTGCCAAAAGGATTTTTCCCCAAAGCCCTTTCATTCTTCCAGATAAAGGAAGTATTTGTCTGGTTTTAATCATGTAAACAAGAGCAGATAATCCCTCCACAGCCCGCTCCTCTCATCAGGAGACACACAGCGGCGGCCAGCACCGGGCCTGCCCAGCCAGCACCGGGCCTGCCCAGCCAGCACCAGGGCCCTGCCCAGCCAGCACCGGGCCCTGCCCAGCCAGAACCGGGCCCTGAACAGCCAGCACCAGGGCCCTGCACAGCCAGCCTTCCCTTCCCAGGCACAGGCCACCCTGCTCTGCCTTGCTCAGCCTAGCTGGCCAGCTCTGCCACTAGGATGGAGGACCAGGTTCCTCCTCCAGGAAGCCTTTCCTGATCACCACCCTGCACAAAGGCCTTGCCCTGGGCTCTCAGAGGCCCTGAGCTCCCTGCTGCGCAGCCCCACACCAGTCAACAGTGAATTGCCAGCTGTTTCCTGGAAGGGCCTCTGGGCCTGGGCCTGGGTCTGACTCAGTGCTGGGTCCACAGAGCCAGGCCCGGGCCGGGACAGAGCTCGACTTGGTAGCAGGCTGCCGACTGAAGGAGTGAGAGAGAACGAACGAATGAGTCCGTGCTCACGGGCTCTGCCATTGCATCTGCCAGGACGCCATATGGTAGTGATGGGCTTAGGGTGGGTCTCAGACTAAATCCCGAATGCTCCTAATGGGATTGTGCAGCCAGGGGAAACGGGGGCGGCCCGGGGTCATTACCCAGGCCTGGGCCAAGCAGTCGCCCTGCCCCCACAGAGCCCCCACCAAGCGCAACTGGTTCAGGCCCCAAGAGGAGGACCTGCGTGAGGTCACATGGGACACCAGAGTCCAGCAGGTGCAGCCCTCAGGCCCGCTCCAGGCTTGTCCTCTCCCGACCATGCCCTGTGCCCCCCGAGAAATGTCAGAACCCGTGCCTGGCCTTGAGGAGCTCTCAGTCTGGCGGGGAGTAGGGGGCGGGACGGGAAGGACTTCGGACACAACTGGATCCGAGCAACCACTGCATACGGTGGACGTCAGCCCTGCAAAGGAAGGGACAAGGAACTCTAGCTAGGAGAGTCAGGGAGGGCTTCCTGGAGGATGAGGATTTGGGGATGGGGCAGACGTGGCAGGCAGTGACATGCAGAAGGCAACAGGAAGGCTGGGGGGCTGGCAAGAGTTCCCTCGGGTCGGGGTGAGGCTCACGTTTGAGGAATGGTGATAGACGAGACCGAAAGGCAGCCTGAGCCCAGGCCGAGGGGAATGCGCTCTGTGCCTGCGGTGTTTGCTGGACCTCTGGGAAGGGAGACTCAAGGGAGCCTTCGGCTGAGGAGAGGGAGGCGAGCAGGGTCTGGGGAGAGGGAGGGGGGATTTGTGAGAGCCACACCTGGAGCCCCCTGAGACTCGTGGCTGCCGAGCGGCAGGCAGGGCACAGCCCTGCGGCCCACCCCCCAGCAGCCCCTGGAAGTGATCGCATCCCTGGAGACAGGCTGCTCGCCTGGCGTTGAGTGGGAAAAGCAAGTTAGCTCTACTGGGAGCCCAGACCCTGCTGGGGCGAGAGCCCTCACCACTCTCTGCTGCGTCCAGACACAGCCAGGCACACCTGGGGCCACGGGACCGTGCGGCTGCGCGCGGGAGCTCAGAACGGGTGGGGTGCGGCTCGGGGCAGGCTGATGGTCCCGCTATTTGGTCTTCTGGGGACTCCTCCGGGGGGTGCTCCTCGAGGTCGGCTCTAGGGTCAAGCTGCAAAAGGTACTTTCTGAGGACTGACAAGCTGGGGCAGGTGGTTGGCGGTGCAGCACTGGGTCACACGGACACGCACAGCAGAGAACTCCACCAAGAAACCGGGCGTGTCTGTGGGTGGTGGGATTATGGGTAATTTTCATTAAAAAATGTTTTTCCACTCTGTATTTTTTATGACCATTTATTTGCAACAGATGGGAGAAGAGAGAGAGAGAGAGAGTGAGAGCGAGAGCGAGAGATCTTTCATCTCTGGGTCACTTCCCAAATGGTTGCAACAGCAGGGACTGGGCCAGGCTGAAGTCAGGAACCAGGAACTCCATCCGGGTCTCCCACATGGCCGACAGAGGACCAAGCACTTGGGTCTTCCTCCACTGCCTTCCCAGGTGCATTAGCAAGGAGCTGGATCAGAAGCAGAGCAGCCAGGACTTGAACCAGTGCCCCCATAAGGGATGTGGTCCATGCAAGGGGCTGTTTAACCTGCTGCGCCACAACACCCACTCCTTCTGTTATTTCTAGAATGTGATAGAAACATAAGCCTGGAGGGTGGCGCCCCCAGCGGCAACAGAAACCACACTTTCCCTGGCCCCCAAACACCCCAACGTTCTCCACACTCGATCCTGGAACAATCTTCCAAGGCAGGGCTTGGCGAGGGGCTGGTGCTGTGCGCAGTGGTAAAGCCATCCCATATGGATGCGGGTTCAAGTCTCGGCTGCTCCTCTCCCCCTCCAGCTCTCAGTGCTGTGACCTGGGAAAGTAGTAGAAGATGACCCAAGTCCTTGGGCCCCTGCATCCACATGGAGACCCAGAGGAAGCTCCAGGCTCCTGGCTTCGGATCGGGACAACTCTGGCCATCTGGAGAGTGAACCAGCAGATGGGAGATTTCTCTCTCTGCTTCTCCTTCTCTCTCTAACTCTGCCTTTCAAATAAATAAATAAATCTTTTTAAAAAATGGTGAAATTGGCCGACACCGTGGCTCACTTGGCTATTCCTCCATCTGCAGTGCTGGCACCCCAGGTTCTAATCCCGGTTGGGGCGCTGGATTCTGTCCCAGTTGCTCCTCTTCCAGGCCAGCTCTCTGCTGTGTCCTGGGAAGGCAGTGGAGGATGGCCCAGGTGCTTGGGCCCTGCACCCCATGGGAAACCAGGAAAAGCACCTGGCTCAGCTTTGGATCAATGCAGTGCACCGGCCGTAGCAGCCATTTGTAGGGTGAACCAACAGAAGGAAGACCTTTCTCTCTGTCTCTCTCTCTCACTGTCTAACTCTGCCTGTCAAAAAAAAAAAAAAAATACTCCATTTACCTAGTATATCTGACATATTACCATTTCAACATGTGACAATGTAGAAAATTTCCGCCCTGCTTCAGGTCTTAAAGTTCGATTTGCATTCATTAAATCTCAGCAGGACAGATCGGGTCTTCTGGTTTGGGTGGCCACGATTTTAACGGGACACAGTCCACGGGTGCCTTTCCAGTCCTGCTCTCAGAGCTCTTGGACTGTCCATGGCTACAGCCCTCCCTTCTGTGGTAGTGAGCTGCCCGTCTTTGGAGGGGTCCCAGTGGAGCCTGGATGGCCACCTGTTGGGATGGGAGATCAAAGCTTTCAGAAGGGAGAGCTCCGTGGGGACGGTCTCGAATGTTCCTTCTGGATCATGGTTTACTGTTGGGGGGAGACTGGGCTAGCTCGTCTCTCCTGCTCTAAGCTGGGCTGGGGGCTCCGGGAGTCCCTGCGGCCCGGGGCTCCCTCCCAGGCCATCTGGCCACACTCGGAGCCCGAGGCCTGGGGATCAAGAGATTGTGGTGATTACAGATGCTGACCCTCTCAGTCTGGTGACTGTTCCCCCCGCAGGCTGGGGGCAGGGAGGCGGTGGCTGCTGGGGCCCTGTCGGGGGAGGAAGAGGCTGCTCACTGCCCGGCCCCTCGCTCTCACGCCGACCCTAAGCGGGGACTGCGGCCTGACTGGGAGGCCCCGGCAGCTCAGCCACCTGTCCAGGGGCTGGTGGTGAGGAGGTGGGTGCAATTGGCAGTGACTCCCTTTTGGGGGGGGGGTCCCACTGGCTGCTCCACCACAGAGAGCCTGAGGGAGGAGATGGCCAAACGCCTGGCTGGCCTGAAGTCCTGCAGGGCCTCTCCTGCCCCAGCCAGCTGGACTTCCGGCTGCCCTTGGACTACTTGCGTGGTTGTTCCTTCTCCCTGGAGCTCACTGCCCGCCATCTTCCCTTTGCATTTCCCCACCCTCCCCATCACCTCTTCCACATTCAGCTCAGATGTCACTTCCTCCAGGAAGCCTTCCCTGACTCAGCCACCTTGCTCACCTCCCCCAGCGTACCCTGTACTTTCCAGTGTGTTAGAGGGCCTTCTGCCACTATGCTCACCCCGAATCTCCCATGCCTAACCCAGCTCCTGGCACACGACAGGCTGGCGGGATATGCATGTGAATGAAGCAGCGACTACGAAGGCACCCCGTCCCCTTGCGCCTGCCGGCCCTCTTCCTTCTCCCCCTCCCCTC